GCCAGGCTGGTGTCAAACTCCTGACCTTGTGATTTGCCCACCTCAGCCCCCCAAAGTGCTGGGATTACAGGCACGAGCCACCACGCCCAGCCCAAATGTTACTTTCTTAAGCCTTTCCTGACCAATGTATCTAAACTTGTAAACTAACTGTCTCTCCTGAATTCCCTGTCTTCTGTTTTAATATTCTTCATGGCATCTTATCACCTATACAGTATAGCTTACTTATTTTTGGCCTCTTCCCATTAAAATATAAGTTCTACAGGACAGAGATTTTTCTTCCTGCTTTCTTCTCTTCTGGAACCCTAGAACCCAGTAGCAGACCTAGCAGAGTACATATGATACATATTTGATGAATAAATGAACAGCCAAATGGACCAGTGAGTTTTTATAAGGTGGTTCTGAAAGTATGTTCAACTCAAAGCCCTTCTGCCCATTTTATGCACAGGAAATTTAGTAAACTGGAAGACAGTTACTGAGTACAAACGTGTGTGTGTGTGTGTGTGTGTGTGTGTGTGTGTGTACAGCATAGAGGCTGATCAGGAAAGATGACACAGTAAGACTGGAGGCAAAGAACTAAGGAGTGAAAGGGAACATCTTCTACCTAGAGAAAGAGAATCACACTCTTTCAAAATGTACACAAAATGTGCTTTGTGCCTTTTGTCCTTGTTGTCTTTTACTTATAAAACATGATGATTCAGGGTCTTAGGCTTTGAATGTGGGAAGACCAACAAAGCTGAACCATGTGATGAGCAGAGCCTAATCAGGGCAGGATTTTCCTGCAAGGACATATCCTGAGTTCTAATGCAATATGGCACAGGAGGCTGAAAAGATAATCAGGAAACCTTGAAAAAGCAAAGTAAATATTTCAGCAGCCCAGAGTACTAAGGAGAGAGAATCAGAGTCCAGGTTCCACCAGGATAAGAGAACTGGTAAAAGGCCGGGCGCGATGGCTCAAGCCTGTAATCCCAGCACTTTGGGAGGCCGAGGCGGGTGGATCACGAGGTCAACAGATCGAGACCATCCTGGTCAACATGGTGAAACCCCGTCTCTACTAAAAATTACAAAAAATTAGCTGGGCACGGTGGCGTGTGCCTGTAGTCCCAGCTACTCGGGAGGCTGAGGCAGGAGAATTGCCTGAACCCAGGGGGCGGAGGTTGTGTGAGCCGAGATTGCGCCATTGCACTCCAGCCTGGGTAACAAGAGCGAAACTCCATCTCAAAAAAAAAAAAAAAAAGAGAACTGGTAAATACCCCCGGGGTGTTTCATGGATTATCTGGAAGACTATATGTCTTTTTTTTTTTTTTTTTTTTTTTTTTAAGATAGAGTCTTGCTCTATTGCCCGGGCTGGAGTGCAGCAGTACAATCTCGGCTCACTGCAGCCTCCATCTCCCAGGTTCAAGCAATTCTCCTGCCTCAGATTCCCAAGGAGCTGGGATTACAGGTACCCACCACCACGCCTGGCTAATTTTTTGTATCTTTAGGAGAGACAAGGTTTCACCATGCTGCCTAGGCAGGTCTTGAATCCCTGACCTCAAGTGATCTTCCTGCCTCAGCCTCCCAAAGTGTTGGATTACAGATGTGAGCCAGGGTGCCAGGCCAAGGCTATGTCTTTTTTTAATTAAAAAAAATTTTTTTTTTTGAGAAGGAGTCTCGCTCTGTCTCCAGGCTGGAGTGCAGTGGCGTGATCTTGGCTCACTGCAACCTCTACCTCCCTGATTTAAGCGATTCCCCTACCTGAGCCTCCCAAGTAGCTGGGACTACAGGCATGTGCCACCATGCCTGGCTAGTTTTTTGTATTAAAGCTGTGTCTTAAAAGTAATGCAAACCAGAGGTAGTCTGATCCTTACCAGAACTGTACCTCTGCCCATGTCTAAGATGAGCACCCACCAATACCACCCCACATGCACATGAACACACACGCATAAACACACACACACTCTCTCTCTCTCACACTCACATTCTCACTCTCTCTCTCTCCTCCCTTCCCTCCTTCTATCACCATCTTAGCAGACAGGGTAAGACCGCTCTGAACAGAGATAACTAATATCATCTGAAGCCTTTTGTAGCTGTGAGACATTCAATCAAATTTTGGCATTACAAGAGATACACCCAAACAATAAGACAAAACATCAAATGACAGAATTGATCCAGATATTGGAATTACTTAAAGTCTTTATAAGCTATGGTTAACATGTTGAAGAAATAGAGGAGAAGATGGCAAATATAGAAATAGATAAAAAAATATCGATTTTTTTTTTAAGTTGGGAATTTCACTGGAGAATTATAAACTAAAAAGAAATAAAATGGAAATTCTGGACTAGAAAAATAACTAAAATTAAGCACTTAATATATGGGCTTTAGCAGCAGATTATGCACAGGAAATTTAGTAAACTGGAAGACAGTTAAACAAAAAATATCTAAGAGTTTAGTGTAAATTAAAGAGCAATTTCAGGAAAATATGTCACTGATTTATACAATAATAATAAAAATAATAAGAGCCTAGCTGGACATAGTGGCTCACACCTGTAATCCCAGCACTTTGGGAGGCCAAGGCTTCTCCAGAGGTCAGGAGTTCGAGACCAGCTTGGCCAACATGGTGAAACCCTGTCTCCATTAAAAATACAAAAAATTAGCCAGGAGTGGTGGTGGGTGCCTATAATCTCAGCTACTCGGGAGGCTGAGGCACAAGAATCACTTGAACCCAGGAGGCAGAGGTTGCAGTGAGCCAAGATCGCACCATTGCACTCCAGCCTAGGCAAAAAGAACAAAACTCAATCTCAAAAAAAAAAAAAAAAACAACTAAGAGCTTACTATGTGCTTACAACTATTCTAGGCATATTATAGTTAATTCCTATATAAATCTATGAGGCATATATAATATTAAGCATAATATAGTTAATTCCTATATAAATCTATGAAGCAGGTATTAATATTTCCTTTTTACATAAGGAAATATTATTTCCTTTTTACATAAGGAAATATTATTTCCTTTTACAAAAAAACTGAGACATGGAGTTTAGATCATTTTCTAAGATCACACAGCTATCAAATTCTGTTTTATCCAGAATTTCCAGGCAGCTTTGTTCTAGAATCCATGTAATGAGTATATTATAATATAGTAATTAATAACAAATGAAGTTTGATGAGGTATTTGTGTGGTTTTTTTTTGAAATGGAGTCTCACTCTGGTGCCCAGGCTGGAGTGCAGTGGCTTGATCTCGGCTACCACGACGTCCACCTCTCGGGTTCAAGTGATTTTCCTGCCTCAGCCTCCCGAGTAGCTGGAACTATAGGCACATACCACCATGCCCAGCTAATTTTTATATTTTTAGTATGGAATTTCACTACGTTGACCAGGCTGGTCTCAAACTCCTGACCTCATCATCCACCCACCTCAGCCCCTCAAAGTGCTGGAATTACAGGAGCGAGCCACCGCACCTGGCCTGGTATTTGCATTTCTTACTCTTATTTTGAATTAAATCCCTCTCAATATATTTAGAGGGAATTAATAATTAGTCACTACTCTAAGCTAATCTGACTTTATAAATAATTTAAAATTGAACTACAAGATGAGCCATATTGCTTTTTGTATTTTCCTCAGATTTTGTATATCTGAGGAAAGCTTGGTCAGTTGGCCGATGCAGTCACAATGAAGTGACTCAAAATGTTGGTAAGCTGAGAAGGAAAGAAAGACTCTCCAGTGTCAGCCTTGAAAATTCAAACCTGGCCCAGCAGGGCGGCTCACACCTCTAATCCCTGCAGTTTGGGAGAGTAGGTGGATAGCCTGAGGTCAGGAGTTCAAGACCAGCTTGACCAACATGGTGAAACCCCATCTCTACTAAGAAAACAAAAAACTTAGCTGGGCATGGTGGCACATGCCTGTAGTACCAGCTGCTCAGGAGGCTGAGGCAGGAGAATCGCTTGAACCCAGGAGGCAGAGGTTACAATGAGTTGAGATGGCACCAGTGCACTCCAGCCTGGGCAACAGAACAAGACTCCATTGCAAAAGAAAAAAAAAAAAGAAAGAAAGAAAAAGAAAATCCAAACCTATAAAATTATGGCACACATAGCATAAAATCATGAAAGATTCATTGCAAATACTCAACAAAGAAGAAAATGGTAGCACTAACTAAAGACTTTTCAATGTTTTATGAAACCTGCATGGGGATGCAGAAAATACATTTTTAAAACTGCATGTGACGTAAGAGTTTAGGGTGGGCTCAGCTCTCATGTCCCGTGTGGAATTACAGTATGACTTCTGAAACACTTAGGCAAGAACATCTTTCCTTTCTTACCAATTGTTGAGGACCCCACCTACAAGGCAAGTTTCAATTGCCCTAACCTCTGCTTATCCAGAATGGGAACTTTTAGTGACAGAACACTAAAAATGTTAGGGAAAAAAACTGTAGAAGTTGCCTTCTGGCACCTTGCCACTAGAAATAAAACTTACCAAAAACGTTTTAAGTTCAAGAACAACCATTGCCTATACTCAGAAGATAAACCTGGAATATTTGAACCTGAAGACTTTTCTAATGTGTGGATTGCTGGGTCTTGATTTTTAGGAAACTTTTATAAAAGGACTTCTTATAATATCTAAAAAGCTAACACACACTGCACAATGTTACTCTGCATACTACCTCTAAGGTGGGCAAAAGAGTCAAACCCGGGTTTTGGCTGCTGGACGTGACACAGGGATCCCACGTTCTTCCCAGACACCATTTTTCATAATAGTGAGACCTGTCACATTTCCAGGAAACAGGTAAGATTAAATTCTGAAAACTTTATGTCACAGCACTAGTTTCTTCAGCAAGAATTTAAAGAAAGTTCTTCAAACGATAGAAAAACAGGCAGGGTTCAGTGGTTCCACATGTAATCCAACACTTTGGGAGGACTGCACCGAGCCCATGAGTTTAAGACCAGCCTAGACAACACAGTGAGACCCCATCTCTTAAAAAAAAAAAAAAAAACTGTTAACTTTGTTATTAAAAAAAAAATGCTTACCTTTGAATATTTCTGTAACTCAGCATCATCTGCAATCTGTGTGTCCAAAGTAGCAACCTAAATTTACAAAAAAATTTCCAATATTTGTATAACTGTATTTTCTGAAAATATCTGCAAAATCTACATATTGATAACTATTTGACCTACATTCTACTATCTGTCTTATATTTTTGAAATCTATAACACATAATGTGAAATCTCAGAGTATATCAATTTTTTTGTTGTTCTCCACAAAAATCTGTTTCCTAAGTTGCATAAATTGAACAGAAGGTGATGGACAAATATATATACTATTTTTTAAAAATCCATGATCCCTAATATTTTAATATAATCCTCCATTATATTGAATGCATCAAAATCTTACTCTTTTGACAAAATCAAGAGTATGGCCATTTTTACTTTCAAACCCAAGCCTCAAAACAAAATTTGCAAGGTCAGTAAAGTCAGAGGAGTTTGGGAAAACTAAAGCATCTGACTTTCCACAGCAAGCTCAAACCATTTCCCCAGAAGAAATAGCTGGCAAAGACACAAACAGAAAGGCCTGGTCCCTGGTGGGAAGCTAACAGAATACTTAAAGCTTTTAATCCTGGCCTAAAACTATTGTTCTAAGCTCCAATGGTGGACATCCACAGAAGTGAATTCCTTGCAAGCAAAAGTACATTACTGATGATTTGCATCTGTAAGTTGTTAATAAAATATGATGCATCTGGCAGGAAGGTATAAGTTAAATAATGACCCAACAACAGCTTCTGAAAGTACTGCATTTCAGATAAGCAGATCCTGGAAGAAACTGAAATAAGAAATACTGGCGTACACGCATTCATTCATTCTCCATCATTCCTGGCTTCTTTCTAACCCCCCATTCCTCAGAACAAGATGCTACAACTTTTAATGGATAAGTGTCACTTTAAATTCCCAACTTCAAATTCTGTCTCCTCTAATTTCTCTGCTATGACCTCACCATGTAATAAATGAAATTGAAAAGGTTAGTTATAAGGAGAATAAAATTTTAACAGAAGGCTGGTAGTGGCTCATGTCTGTAATCCCAGAACTTTGGGAGGCCAAGCAGGATGGATCACTTCAGACCAGGAGTTCAAGACCAGACTGGGCAACACAGTGAGACACCATCTCTAAAAGAATTTGAAAAATTAGGTGAGCATGGTGGCTCATGCTTGTAGTTACAGCCAGTCGGGAGGCTGAGGTGGGAGAACCACTTGAGCCCAGGAGGTTGAAGCTACAGCAAGCTGTGACTGTACCACTGAATTCCAAGATCCTGTCTCTCAAAAAAGTGTTTTTCTGTTTTTGTTTTCTTGAGGCGGAGTCTCCCTCTTTCACCCAGGCTGGAGTACAGTGGCGCAATCTTGGCTCACCACAACCTCCACCTCCCAGGTTAAGAGATTCTCCTGCCTCAGCCTCCCAAGTAGCTGGGATTATAAGTGCCCACTACCACACCCAGCTAATTTTTGTATTTTTAGTAGATGCGAGGTTTCACTATGTTGCCCAGGCTGGTCTCAAACTCCCAAACTCAAGTGATCTGCACATCTCAGCCTCCCAGAGTGCTGGGATTACAGCCATGAGCTATCACACCCAGCCAAAAAAAAATGTTTTTTAACCAAAAAACAGCCCATCCTAAAACTGGCCATTTGTAAATACTGTACAGTGAATTTCTTTGAATATCAAACCACTAGGATAAGTAGGAAAGGCCATTTGCTAGGTGATAGCTTAATAATCATATTCAAAATCTATGAAGCAGAGAAACAGTTCAAGAGAACTGACATGCAAGCATAAAGTTACCAGGGGAAAGTGTGAATTGTATTGACTCATCTTAATGACACTGGGAATTTTCTGACAATAGTGGCTACATAATGTAAAGCAAAAAAATTTAAAAAATCTCCAACCAGCCAACAAGTACTAATAATAAACATATGTAAGGAAATGTGAATGACAGTAGAAATTTAAAAAAATATTTTATTACTAATGCATTTAGTGAACAGTATAGAGGCTGGTCTAAGCACAACTTTCTGCTTTCATGTGGATTCATATGGGGAAATGTAATCAATCCCTTGCTCAATGAATCTAATAACAGGTGAAAGGAAGTCTAATGGACCACTGGCACTATAAACTTATACCAAACCTAAATTATTTCCTGTTCTTCTAAATATATTTGATAATCATTCTTTCATTTTTTACATAAAACTGTAAGATTCTTTGTGAAACATAGGACTAATATCCACAGTCCTTTCAGTGTACAATAAAACAAACAGATCATAAAAGCGATCATAAAAATGCCAGCAATTTTAAGTGGCTGATACAGGTTATAAATTTAAAGGCAACCCTCTCCAACAGTTTTCTGTCTATTGTCGACTTAAATGGTTTCAACATGAACTGAGTGTCTGCTAATTGTAACTGAAATTTGTGTGCAGTCCTTAATTATTCTTACAGCTTAAAATGCTAAAGACAAGGAAAAAATCAATTGATATTCGATAGAGAAGAAAGGCAGGAAGGAAAAAATAAAGGCAGGCTGGCTATTCTTTGACTCTCCCATTTCTTTGAATTGTAGTGTTAGAAACTTGATGTGAAATGAGACATGAGTGTTTTTCATTAGAACATTTTAACATACCATTACTTCATAATCAGGACCCAATAGGTTTTCCCATCTGGATTTCAGCTCATTTTCTAGAGAGGCTGGGACTTTTTCTGGATATTAAAAAAAAGAGAGAGAGAGAGAGAATGTTGAAACTACTGTGAGCCAAACACACTTAACTACTAAATTCTTCAATAACAGCCCAGTTTCAGTAAGTAAAGCGGAAATGAATAGAAAGGAAAATGCATTAACTTAGGTCTACTAGGTAAAGTAAATCAGAGGTGACTTATAAAACTATTGTAAAATGTAAAGACCAGCTGTGACCAAATTATGAAGGAGCTTTCGTTCTTAAAGGATACTTTAAAGGAAAGGACTTGATGAGTTATACATGAAATTTAAATTATGTACAGTTTATATGTAAACATCCTATGGTTTACAAGTAAAATGCATCTGGCTTTGCTTTATAATACATTAGGACATAGAAAGATTTCATTTAAATGTTAATCACTTCAAAACAGTACCATTTCAGCTGCTCACTAGAAAAGTTAAAAATGTATCAAGATATCCTTACTATCAGCAGTGCATATCAACACAGTATAATCAGACTTTTCACATGGGCAGCTATAAAGCCTTGTCTAGTTTAATCCAGTTAAAGTTTCATGAGCTTTAAGATAACAGGAACTTTGGTTTTACATCAATCTTTTGTTGCTTGGTTATTAAGATACTTGTATCTTGATAACTTTCTTGAGTGTAATACTGCCTTTGTTGCACAGAAAATTTAATAGAGCTAAAACAGATTGTAAGTGTCTTGCCTGTCCTCCACATGATGGTAGCCAGAAGCTCAGTGCACGGTGCATAGCATGAATAACGTATAATAGGCAAAAGTGAAAGTACTAAAACTGAAGTTATAACTTATACCCATAGCAGTAGCAGTAAATGAACTTCTACCTTTTTTAACTTAAAGAAAAACTATCTCAATTTTGTCTTAAGATTGGACAAGTCACAGAACAGTTATCACAACTGATATAACCATCTGCCTAAAATCAAACGTAACTTGCAGTATCAGCTCTTTCAGTCTTCGGCACGGACAGCTCATCTTGGAGGCATATAATGTTTAATTACATAATACAAATCATTCAATGAAACAGGCTAACCTCAAAAATCAGTGACTAAGACTAATGAACACTAAAGAACTTAAATTACTACGTTTATAAAAGAATACCCATGAAATAACTATATTAACTGCTATGCTAGATTACACTTAGGGGATAACTAACCAAAGATCCTATTAAAAACAAAAAATCAAATTCATTTGGGCTCTGCACCTTTGTTCCTATTCCTGTTAGCATTTCATTAAGAAATTACTTAAGAGTTATAACGTCTTGCCTTATAAATTTTTTCTAGGCAGTAATTTCTTGTCTGGTAAACAAATCTGAACGAAATTTACAATTTATTTGTTGAATTCTAAGCTTAAAAATATGGCAATCATACAACAGTTAATATAAATGTATAAAATAATGTTCACATTTCACCAGCAATTCTTTTGACTATATTTTTGTCTTTCACAGTCATGAGTTTAAAAGCAAGTACAAATGCCTAAGTGCTAAAGAAAAGAGATAGACTTTCAGCAGCTCAATAAATCCTAGGCTACACAAAATGATCAAAAATTGAGTAACATGATGATCTGAAACAAATATTCCAAAGGCAAAAAGAGAGCTAACCTCATAGCAGTTAGTAGATTTTGGTTTTACTCTAAAGCTAAAATTTTACATACACAAGAAGAAAAAAATGTAGTAAAGTTGATCCAAAAAGCACATATAAAATATTTCTCAAACTAATACTCCCTGGTCAATTGTAAGTATTCTTTTTGATTTAATTTTTGCCAATATAACTAAAAAATGGTATGTCATTTTTAAAATTTGTATTTCTTTCTTTACAAATAAGCATGCCCAGTTATGCCAAGCAAAGTGAATGATGTTTTTAAAAGGTCAAGTAGCATTTATAATAGAGGAGTATTGTTATCCCTAGCATGAGTGTAATGGTGATATGAAAAGCTTTGTCTTGTCATTATAATGATTAAAAAATGAACATATATTATGAAAAAATTATTTCTAAAACTATTTCTAACTTCAGAATGTACTCTATTTTCATCTGACATTTTACTGACAATCTGAGCTCGACTCAGATTTGCAAAGATAAACTGCATCTACTTGAGTCAAAAAGAACAAGGTAAATGTCCAAATCATAGGAAATGTTTTAACCTGAAAAAGAGGTTAACTCCTTTTCGTCAGGCTCTTCTTTCCTGACCTGAGACAAGACAAAGCCAAAAGCCAAAACTTCTTGGGAACCTGGGTAGTGTTAAGTACCCAAGGAGTTGCATTTAGCTAGCAAGGCTTTCCAGTACTTTGGAAGGCCAAGGCGGGCAGATCACTTGAGGGAAGGAGTTCAAGACTAGCAAGGCCAACATGATGAAACTCCGTCTCTACTAAAAATATAAAAATTAGTCTGGCATGGTGGCGTATGCCCGTAATCCCAGCTGCAAGGAATGCTGAGGCAGGAGAATCACTTGAACATAGGAGGCCAAGGTTGCAGTGAGCTGAGATCATGCCACTGCACTCCAGCGTGGGCAACAAGAATGAAACACCGTCTCAAAAAAAAAAAAGTCATTGATATTAAGAATACCCTATTTTATATCTCCAAAATGCCTCTAAGATTTCTCACATAATATTAACTATAAAGAGAGAAAATGGTTAACAAATGAAAGAGTCTTGGTACCTACCCAATTTTTCTAAGGCTTGTATGTTGTCGTTGCTTAAATGATCCGTTCTTTCTTTAATTTCCTCATCTTCACCATCCAAATTAGTTTCAGTTTCCACTGCTCCAGTTAGAAAGACAGCTGGTGGTTTTGGTGGTTCTACAACAGTTCCTAATTTTTAAAAAAATTTAATATTTTTAATGCTAACTTGAATCATTAGTTGTGAGGACCATATTAAAGTGAGCATATTTTACTCCTGTTCTTCCATTTCACAACCTTATTAAATCTGAGGTAACGTACACAGATCATTCCTCAAACCCAAAATGCCATGTGTAATAGATAACCAATCGATTCCTTAAAAAATGAACTTAATAGCACTGAAAAGAATAAGGAACAAACAATGGGAAGAGAAAAGCAAGGTAAACTCAATGACAAAGAAGCAGTTAGATGCTTTTCAATATATCCTTGGAAAAGAAAACAATGCTAAGGTCCTAAGATCTTACTCTTATGGGTGGGCAGAAAGCAAGATTTGCAGAATAAGCTGGACCAATTGCTCTGGGCTCTCCCAGTTTCTGGCATGACATCATCACGACTCTGACAAACCAGTCTACACAGATAACCTTATTACTTAGAAGGGAGTTAGAGAGAATTCCCCTGGGTGTAGAGATTCCTCACTTTACTAAATTGAGCTAAGTAAAATAATAGAAGAACTAGGCTGGGCGCGGTGGCTCAAGCCTGTAATCCCAGCACTTTGGGAGGCCGAGGCAGGTGGATCACGAGGTCAAGAGATCAAGACCATCCTGGTCAACATGGTGAAACCCCGTCTCTACTAAAAATACAAAAAATTAGCTGGGCATGGTGGCACATGCTGTAATCCCAGCTACTCAGGAGGCTGAGGGAGGAGAATTGCCTGAACCCAGGAGGCGGACATTGTGGTGAGCCAAGATCGTGCCATTGCACTCCCAGCCTGGGCAAAAAGAGCAAAATTCTGTCTCAAAAAAAATAAAATAAAATAATAATAATAATAGAAGAACTGATCAAGAGCAGTCACTCATGGCTGTAATCCTAGCGCTTTGGAGGCCAAGGTGAGAGGATCATGTCTGGCCAGGAGTTTGAGACCAGCCAGGGCAACTTTGTGAGACCCAATTGCTACCCACAAACAAAAATCTTTGAAACTTAGCCAGACATGGTGACGTGTACCTGTAATTTTAGCTACTTAGGAGGCTGAGGTGGGAGGATTCTCTGAGCCCAGGAGTTTGAGGCTACAGTGAACTATGATCATGCCACTGTACTTCAGCCTAGGTGACAGAGTGAGACCCTGTTTTTAAAAAAATCTATGAGTTATCCAAAGTTTTCACTCTCATCCATAAGTTGCATAAGTCATTCTAGGTTGTTTTTTAAATAATACACATCACTTATATTCTTATCAAAAATAATTAAGGCCCGGTGCGGCGGCTCACACCTGTAATCCCAACACTTTAAGAGGCCAAGGCAGGTGGATTGCTTGAGGTCAGGAGTTCAAGACCAGCCTTATCAACATAGTGAAACTCCATCTCTGCTAAAAATACAAAAATTAGCCAGGTGTGGTGGTACACACCCAGCCACTGGAGAGGCTGAGGCACAAGAATCACTCGAACCTAGGAGACGGAGATTGCAGCGAGCCATGATTGTGCCACTGCCCTCCCGCCTGGGTGACAGAGTGAGATTCTGCCTCCAAAAAAATAAATAAATAAATTAACCTAATATAACTAAGACTGTAGTTCTAGCTTGTAACTCATAGGAAACTAATGATGGGTAGAAGAACAAGTTAATGACACCATAAGGAAACAAATTCAGAATTTGTTTCCCTAGTGACAAAGGGACTAATGGCTTCAAAAAGTCTATACCATGGGCACTGGGAGGTGTTCTTCTAGATTTAAACAAACGAAGAGACATAACAAATGCAATAAATGCAGTGCCTAACTGGATCTTGGTTTTGGGGCTTGGCGTTTGTTTGTTTGTTTGCAGGGGGTGGTAGGAGGAGTGGAAAGAAAATCTACACAAAATATTTTGGAGCAAAAAAATCTAAGAAACTGAAAAAAATTTTTTAAGTATAGATTAGGTATTTGGTATTAGGAAATCAGTATCAATTTATTTTGCAGTGATAATACTATCATGGTTATATAAAAGAATATCTTCATTTTTATAAGTTATAGGCTGGAAGTATTCTGATGTCTCCCACTAACTCGAAAATGGTTCAGGGAAAAAAATAAACATATGAAGCAAATATGGCAAAATGTTGGCCAATGGGTCTAAATGGTAGGTTTGTGGGTATTCACTATATTATTTGGCACTACTTCTGTATGTTAAACTTTTTAAAAATAAAACGTTGAAAAATATACTATGAGCTTAACATGAGACTTTAAACCAAACAGAACGCTTTTAGATCATTAATCCACGATATCACTAAATGCACAGCTTGGTGCTAGAATTAAAAAAAGCCAATCATTCACTGCAGCATTTTTAAAAAATAACCAAAAGAAAGAAGCAACTGAAGTGAAAATGAGAATAAATAGATAAAGAAAATGTGGCATATACAAACAATGGAACATTAAAAAAGAAGGAAATTCTGTCATGAATGAACCTTGAAGACATTATGCAAAATGAAATGAGCCAGTCACAGGACAAAGATTCCACGATTCCACTTACATGAAGTATCTAAGCAGCCAAACACATGGAACCAGAAGATAGAATGGAGACTGCCAAGGGCTTTGAGGAACAGGGGAAATGGGGAGTGGTTGAATCGGTATGAAGTTTCAATCACGCAAGATGAAAAAAGTCTAGCAATATGCTGTATGACAATGTGCATATTGTTCACAATGCCCTAATGCACACTTAATAAATTTTTGGGCCAGCCAAAGTGGCTTACACAAGTAATACTAGTACTTTGGAAGGCTGAGGTGGGAGGATCACCCGAGGCCAGAAGTTCAAAACCAGCCTGAGCAACATAGTAAAAATCCATCTCTACAAAAATTTTAAAATTTAGCCAGGTGTGGTGGTGCACGCTTGCAGTCTCAGCTACTTGGGAGACTGAGACAGAAGGAGGATATAAAGAAGAAAACGAAAGAGGAGAAAATAACAGCAAGATTTCAAATGGTAGAAGGATTATGTGAGAGGTAAACAATGTGCACTTTGTGGCCGGGCGTAGTATTTCATGCCTATAATCCCAGCACTTTGGGAGGCCAAGGTGGGCGGATCACGAGGTCAAGAGATCGAGAGCATCCTGGCCAACATGGTAAAACCCTGTCGCTACTAAAAAAAAAAAAATACAAAATATTAGCTGGGCATGGTGGTGTGTGCCTGTAGTCCCAGCTACTCGGGAGGCTAAGGCAGGAGAATCTGAAACCGGAAAACAGAAGTTGCAGTAAGCCGGGATCACACCACTGCACTCCAGCCTGGTGATAGAGCAAGATTCTGTCTCAAAAAAAAAAAAAAAAAAGACATGCAGTTTGTTTCGGTAAAACAGACTTCTAAATGTTGATATGATGCAAAGTACACAAAGATGTGTGACATGGGATAGGGGATTGGAGGCGAAAAGACTTACCCTCTTTCCCATAGTATAGTCCTACACATGAAACAGGTGATTATAATGTAGTGTGCTAAAAGCTACAGTACCGTGCTTTTCAAAGGGTGCAAGTGAAGCACATAAGAAAGACACCCAAACCATGGAGTAAGGGGTACAGATTCATTTAGAGTCAGAACATATCCCAACACAAATTTAAAATATAGGAATGCTCAATAAAGAATTGTCAGGTGGGGTATAGTAGCTCACACCTGTAATCCGGCCAAGGTGAGCAGACCCCTTGAGCACAGGAGTTAGTGACCAGCCTGGCCAACGTGGTGAAACTCTGTCTCTACAAAAAATACAAAATTAGCTGGGTGCAGTGGCATACACCTGTGGTCCCAGCTACTTGGGAAGTTGAGGTGGGAGGATTGCTTGAACCCAGGAAGCAGAGGTTGCAGTGAACCACTGTACTCCAGCCTGGGCAACAGAGTGAAACCCTGTCTCAAGAGTTTGTTAATCAAAAATTGCTCATTCACAGATACTGGGCATACCTACATTCAGTTGGTATGGTAAACCGAAGCCAAGCACTCTATCAGAGCTGTTTATTAAACACCATTATATTTATATGAATATTGATATAAGCCATTTAAGGTCAAAATGGTATTTGTACAATTTGTACTATGTAGGCAATTTTTAATTTCATACATTCGATGCAGTTGACAGGGCATCTGTCAGCAACAAAAGGTCTTCTATCACATAAAAGAAAAAAGGTCCAATTTAAATATAAATCAATATCAGCTGAAAACAAAGGCTTCCAAGTGTATTGTATCTTCAGAGGAATATTTCCAGAGGAAAAAAATTCATTTATCTTCTGTCAAATTCAAGTATTTCTTACTCCTTAGTTATACTCACTCCATTTTTTTTTTTTTTAAGAGATAGGTCTCACTCTGTCACACAGACTGGCATGCAGTCACACCTTTTTTGCTCACTGCAGCCTCAAACTCCTGGGTTCAAGCGATCCTCCTGCCATAGCCCTCCTGAGTAGCTGGGAATACAGATGGGTACCACCAGGCCCAGCTAATGTTTAATTTTTTATAGAGAAGGGGTCTGTGTTGGTCAGGCTAATCTTAAACTCCTGGCCTCAAGTGATTCTTCTGCCTTGGCCTCTAAATGTGCTGGAAATAGAAGCGTGAGCCACCAAGCATGGCTAGAATTACTGCAGGCAGTAAGTCACTCATTCTAAATTGAATATGTGTTTCCATGATTGTCAACTTTTGTTCATCTATACATTTATAAGTTGATAATTAAAAATTGACATGCAGCCAGGCACGGTGCTTCACACATGTAATCCCAGTACTTTAGGGGGCCAAGACAGGTGGATCACGTGAGCCCAGGAGTTCAAGACTATCATGGGTAACACAGGAAAGACCCCATCTCTACAAATAAAAATAAAAATAAATTAGCTGGATATGGTGGTGCTCGCCTGTGGTACCAGCTACTCAGGAGGCTGAGGTGGGAGGATCACTTGAGCCCAGGATGTAAGGCTGAAGGCACGATTGTGCCACTGCACTCTGGCCTGGGCAACAAAGTGAGACCTGTCCAAAAAAAAAAAAATACAAATACATGTTTCATTTTCTTTCACTATACTTCAAAAAGTAAATCAAGAGGCAGATTAGAATAAAATATATTGCTAAAAGTAATAGGAAACCTGGCTGGGCGCAGTGGCTTACACCTGTAATTACAGCACTTTGGAAGGCCAAGGCAGGCAGATCACCTGAGGACAGGAGTTTGAGAACAGCCTAACCAACATGGTGAAACCCTGTCTCTACTGAAAGTACAAAAAAATATTATCCAGCTGTGCTGGCACATGCCTCTAGTCCCAGCTACTTGGAGGCTGAAGCACAAGAATCACTTGAACCCAGAAGGCAGAGGTTGCAGTAAGCCAAGATCGTGCCACTGCACTCCAGCCTTGGCAAGACAGTGAGACTGTCTTAAAAACAAAAGTAATAGGAAACCTAAAGTCTGTAAAATGTCAAAGCATTAGACAAATGAGATCCCCCCAACAAAAGGTGTCAAACCTTTATTATTCAAATATATGTAATCAATGAAATTTGAAAGCTTTTAGAAAAAATGATTTTCATCTCTATTTAGAGACGCTCTCAGCGCTTAGTGCATGTCAGGGTGCACCTCCTACCATTCTGACTGACGTAATAAGCAAAGGAAACACTTCCTCAATGAACAAATAAGCTGACTCATTTCTCCATCACTGCATCACACGAGGTGGGACAACATTTCCTGCTGAGACCCATGGAGCAACTTCCATAATTGAACTCTTCTTCCAAATGCAAACTACTTGAGAGATAGAGGGGTGGCAGCGTTAATCACCTCTGTCTGAAGGTGGTTCAGGTGGAGAAGTAGATGAGGATGTCTTCCTTCGAACTAGGGTGAGGTGTACCACCTGCCCTGCATTTCGTAATACTTCAACAACATCATGGTTGGCAAAACCCTGAATGTTCACACCGTCGACCTAAAACATCGAGAGAAACATTAAACAGAGGTTTCAAGTTAGCTACTGTTTTTAACTGTCAACAATGAATAAAATGAAGCAAATCCTTTCATTCCAAAAATAAATTATTTAGGCCAAGTGCATGGCTCATGTCTGTAATCCCAGCACTTTGGTAGGCTGAGGTGTGTGGATCCCCAAGGTCAAAAGTTTGAGACCAGCCTGGCCAACATGGTAAAACCCTGTCTCTATTAAAAATACAAAAATTAGCCAGGTGTGGTGGTGCGCGCCTACAGACCCAACTACTTGGGGGGCCAAGACAGGAGAATTGCTTGAACCTGGGAGGTGGTGGTTGTAGAGAGCCAAAATCGTGCCCTTACACACCAGCCTAGGTGACAGAGCAAGGCTTGGTCTCAAGAAATAAGTAAGTAAGTAAATAAATAAATAATTCAGACTTTAGGATGTATTTTTTAAATAAAGATATAAAACTACTAAAACATGCTGAGAAACTTCCTCACACACTAGAAAGCAAATTCAAATTTGTACTCCTGTTAGTTACTTAAACTAATAGCCTGAGAGATAAAAAGGATTTTAATCTCTGATGTAATTCAAAATTCAAAACACCATAAAAGATGGTCAGTTATTATATACAGCTCTCAAGATGTATTAATAGAAGCTGTTATTATCAAAACTAAAGAGGTCATCTAATACTTCATCCCTGTATTCATACCACATGATATTTTCAATAAACACATTGATTTCCCTCCAACAGGTCTTCTATCTTTCTGAAAAGGTATTCTTTTTCAAGAACAGTATTCTTAATCTATGTCAAGCCCAATTCCTGAAGTCTATCAAAACCAGTAGGCTTCCTCTCTCAATCAACTTTGTGCTAGCTATAATTATTTCAACTGTCCCATAAGGCTTTTAAAGCCAAGAGTCATGAAATGTGCTGCCTTAGATAGATTTGAAGGGCAAGGATTCAAATCATACTACCCAATATTTGTTTCTATGTTAAGCAATGTGTGTGTATACATGTGTATAGACATTAATACATATGTATATATAAACTTAACTAATTTCTACTAAATGGGGAAAAGGCCATTGATAATTGATAACAGGTAATTATTATATTCTTAGATATGTAAAATATCTCAATTTAGTTGTACTTATAATTATTGCTAACAGAAAAACTACTTTCACAAAAAGATAAAAAGAGCGAGTTAATGATCTATTAATTATACATAAAATAGGTGAGTTCAAAGAACAGTGTTTTCTAGAAAAATGCTAGAACATCTTTCAAACATATATGTATATAAAAATATATTTTTTGTACAAATATGTTTAGTGAATCCTTTCTTCACTGACAGTGAAAAAAAATTAAATATAAGAAGAGTCTAAAATAATGAGATTTCACTAACTTAGTTTTTAAAAACCTTTATAAAACTATATTAAGCCATCCTCCTCTCATATATATATTATAATAATGATCAGCCTTTTTTCAACTAGAATCAAATCTAAAACAGAGGCTAGTTACTTACAGCAACTATTTTGTCATTCACTTGGACGTGTCCATTGTGGTATGCAGCACTGCCAGGTATTATACTTTTCACATAAATCCCTGGAGCTTCCCCTTAAAGTGCACAGACATACAGAAAAAGGAAGAAAATTCTAATTAGGGCTTGATTGCAAAATTTGTATCAAGAGGTTAATTAGTTAACGGGGTTGACTGGAGGTTTGATAAATACTATTTTAAACACAAGCAGAGAAATTGATAGATTACTTCAAACTGTCACCATCTCAAGTGACCCGAATTCAAAATGATTTGACTGATGACTACTCTTCTGGAAAAATAATCAGTAATGGAACCCTGATGAAATGTACTCTAATCTAAGCTGAAATTCAGAGCCCAGAGTAAGTCTGACTCTCTCTTGGTCTGTCTCTACTCTTACTGCTGATGTGGCATAAGACTTCATCATTTTTTCTTTTTTTTTTTTTTTTTGTGAGACAGAGTTGCTCTGTCACCCAGGCCAGAGTGTAGTGGTGCAATTTCAGCTCGCTGCAACCTCCGCCTCCTAGGTTCAAGTGATTCTCCTGCCTCAGTCTCCTGAGAAGCTGGGATTACAGGCCCACACCACCACACCCGATAATTTTTGTATTTTTAGTAGAGACAGGGTTTCACCATGTTGTTCAGGCTGGTCTCAAACTCCTGACCTCGTGATCTGCCCACCTTGGCCTCCCAAAGTGCTGGGATTATAGGCGTGAGCCACCACACCCGGCAACTTCATCATTTTTTTACAATCACTCGTCCTAGGAGGACAAGTCTCCTAGATCCTCCTGCTTATATTTAGTTCACTGCTCATGTGAGCTTCGCAGACACAGATATAAGAAAAGTACACATGATCTCTTTTTTATTTGAAACAGAGTTTGGCTCTTGTCACCCAGGCTGGAGTGCAATGACTTTGACTTATCAAAAACCTTCTTTTCCATTCATAACTCAAATGCCACCTTCTTTGTGAATTCTCCATTTCCTTCTGACAAACTAAATATGTCATCTGCCATACCATGATAGCTTCCTTGGTCCCCATATCTGCAAATTTCACATCTGCAGGATGTGAACCGGGTGTGATGGCAGGCAACAGAAGTCACAGCTACTGGGGAGTCTGAGGCATGAGAATCACTTGAACCCAGGAGGCAGAGGTTGCAGTGAGCTGAGATCATGCCACTGCATTCCAGCCTGGCAACAGAGTGAGAATCCATCTCAGAAGAAATAATAATAATAATTTTTTTTTTTTTTGAGACGGAGTTTCACTTGTTACCCAGGCTGGAGTGCAATGGCGCGATCTCGGCTCACTGCAACCTCCGCCTCCTGGGTTCAGGCAATTCTCCTGCCTCAGCCTCCCGAGTAGCTGGGATTACAGGCATGCGCCACCATGACCAGCTGATTTTTTGTATTTTTTAGTAGAGACGGGGTTTCATCATGTTGACTAGGATGGTCTCAATTTCTTGACCTCGTGATCCACCCACCTCGGCCTCCCAAAGTGCTGGGATTACAGGCTTGAGCCACCGCGCCCGGCCCAATTTTTTAAAAAGAACTAAGTGCTGCTTACATGTTTGTCTCCCTGAACAGACTTATCTTACTCATTTTCTACTCTCTCCAGAACTCCTCAAAAGTCCAATGAATAGATTAGAGCAAAAATTATTTTGAAAGACTACTTGCTAAAAAGCATGTTGAGACTGGACACAGTGGCTCACACCTGTAATCCTAGAACTTTGGGAGGGGGAGGTGGGCGGATCAAGAGGTCAGGAGATCAAGAACATCCTGGCCAACATGGTGAAACCACATCTCTACTAAAAATACAAAAATTAGCTGGTGCGTGCCTGTAATCCCAGCTACTCGAGAGCTGAGACAGGAGAATCGCTTGAACCTGGGAGTCAGAGGTTGCAGTGAGCTGAGATCACACCACTGCACTCCAGCGTGATGACAGAGCTAGACCCCATCTCAAAAAAAAAAAAAAAAACAGCGCTTTTGAGCGTAAGAAGTAAGATGAGCCAGGTGTGGTGGCTCACGTCTGTAATCCCAGCACTTTGGGAGGTCAAGGCGGTTAGATCACCTGAGGTCAGGAGTTTGAGACCCCTGGCCAACATGGTGAAACCCTGTCTCTGCTAAAAATGCAAAAATTATCTGGATGTAGTGGTACATGCCTGTAGTCCCAGCTAATTGGAGGCTGGGGTAGGAGAATCTCTTGAACCTGGGAGTTGAAGGTTGCCATGAGCCAACATTGCGCCACTGCACTCCAGCCTGGGCAATAGAGTGAGACTCTGTCTCCAAAAAAATAAAAAAAGAGAGAAGAAGAAGAAATAAAATAGTAAAATGATACTTTCCTTTGTTCAGTAACATAAACATTAAATTTTTTCATTCACTTTCACTTAGGAACTAAACCACCAGTCATTCACTTTCACTTAGAAACTAAACCATAAGTTTACGAACTGAATCGTGATTCCTCTAACCAGAATTAGCATATTAAAAACTACTTCAGGCCGGGCGTGGTGGCTCACACCTGTAATCCGAGCACTTTGGGAGGCCGAGGTGGGTGGATCACCTGAGGTCAGGAGTTCAAGACCAGCCTGGCCATCATAGTGAAACCCCATCTTTAAAAAATAAATAAATAAATAATAAAAATAAAAACTACTTCATGTGTTTTTTTGAAACATTATTATACAATTCACACTTAGCTCTTTTGAATGTCATTTAAATTCTGAACTTAAATAAAGGTGGCACTTAGAATCTAAAGAATTGAAAAAAGATATTTCATCAGGCTAAAATAGCACGAGGTGGTCTGACATGAATTTCATTCAGGACTTTGAATACATTAGCACTCTTAATCCTTCCACCTGCTGTAAGTATGCAAAATAACAGTTTTTTTTAGGAAATTAACTCTGTAATCTTGCTATTAAAAAAACTAGAACATTTTATAACTCTGAATTCTCATATTATTAGCAAATATTTGTGGAAAGGCTTATTTTTCTTACCCTAATAATTCTCTTACAATAAGGGAATAAATCTTATAGTGAAAGCTATCAAAGCTTTGCAGATAGGAGTTGAGGGAGTTTTATTCAGAGATACTTTAACTGTGTATTTATTCTCAGTTTATTCCTTTTCTATGAAAGGAAAACAGTTCTAATAAAAATGCTTATTTTAACTTATTCTTTTAGTGATAAAACATAATACTCTTACTTTAGGAACAATCACAATATGAAATACATAATCAATTTACTTATCACAAATCTAATCTATCGTAATACATTAACAATATTCACAACATATCTATTTTACAGACAAAGAAGGTACTATTCAAATATTATACACTGAGCTGACCAATTATATTTTTTGTTAATGACTATCAAGCCAGCTATAAAACTATTGAGATAAAAATGTGATTCTGTAATCACTGAGAAGTGACTGGTTGCTATTATAGATTCATGGTTTTATGGTTCAAGATTTAAATTAAAATCTGCAAGTATTTAAAATTTCACTATCTAGAAACCTTAACATCCTTTACAATTATTTCCAAATAGAAATTATTCATTTTTGGGGTACGGGTTTGTGGTGCTCCCTGAGCTATCTTTCCTGTGCCAAGATGCTTCAAAGTTTTATTTAAAATATGTGGCTCCCCTTGAAACCCTACTATACCCAAGTTTACCAGATTTGGGTAGGAATGGGGCTGATGGGCTTCACTGTTAATGAACTCCATGCCGCTGATAACAGAAATAAGGCTGCAAAAGCTGCAGCATCTGCTCGTGATCATCATTAACCAGTTTACTTGGAATACATGTGAAAGAAAACGTCAGTCTGCCTGTAAATTTGAGCAAGCCGTGTTAGATGGGACGCATGGAACATACTGTACACTTGTAAGAGTACTGTTTACTTCATGCCATGAATAAATGGATCTGTGAGATGCTCAAAAAAAAAAAAAAGAAATTATCCATTTACCTGTATGAGATGTTCCAACATAGCCAACAATTCTAATTCCAAGACTCTGCCCATCTTTTTTAACAAGCTCAACATTGTAAGTTTCAAAAAGAGAAGTGTCCTAAAAGGAAAAACCAAATTTAATGATACATGCTTAGTTGTACACCTATGTGTACAGAGTCAATCTGTACAAGGTTTGTCAAGGATTTTCCTAGCATCTATGGTAGGCAGAATTGTAAGATGGTCCCCATGACCTTCAATCCCTGGTGCTACTCCCATATTGATACCATATTACATGGCAAAAGGGAGATTATCCAGGTGGGCTAATCTCATCACTACAGCCTGTTTGTTTGTTTTTTTTTAAATAGAGATGGGGTGGAGAATGATCCAAGATGGCCGATTGCTAACATCTCAGGATGGCAGCTCTCAGTGAAAGCGCAGAGAACTAGATAGAGGATGCCACACTTTCAGACAAATTCTGGTCGCTCACAGAGCAGAAGATCCCCAGTGGAGGAGTCACACGGGTCGCCAGCATGACTCTTGTGGCCGGCGCAGCGGTTTCACCAGCACCTCGGCGCAGCAGCTCTCGGAGCAGAGTAAACAGGGCTGGCTCCCCTTCTGACCGAGGTTTGGAGGACCCACACGGGTCCCCAGCACGGCTCCTGAGACCGGCACAGCGGCTGTGACGGCACCTCGGCGCAGCAGCTCTCGGCGCAGAGTAAACGAGACTGGTTCCCCTTCTGACCAAGGTTTGGAGCCCTGGGAAGGCAGAGTCGCCTACTACGGACACAAGAAGGAAGCCAGACAGGACAATCCTGGGCAGAAAAGCACCATCAGTCTTAATGCCGCTGTTCTGGCCCTGGGAACTAACAACTTGGACATCCACTCAAGAGACCTAATCTGAAAGTTGGTCATTTCAAAGATGACAGGAGGATAAATTTACAATGATGGGAAGAAACCAGCGTAAAAAGGCTGAGAATACTCAAAATCAGAAAGCCTCTCCCTCTAAAGATGATCACAGTTCCACATCAACAATGGAAAAAGGCTTGATGGAGAACGAGCGCATCCCAATGACAGAATCACTCTTCAGGGAATGGATAATAAGAAACTTCTGTGAGTTAAAAGAACATGTTGTAGCCCAACGTAAAGAAACTGAGAACTTTGAAAAAAAGGTTTGATGAAATCCTATTGAGAATAGACAACTTAGAGAGGAATATAAGTGAATTAATGGAACTGAAGAATACAATACAGGAACTCTGAGAAGTATGCACAGGTTTAAACACTCGAATTGTTCAAGCAGAAGAAAGGATATCAGAGGTCAAGGTCCAACTTAATGAAATAAAACGCGAAGACAAGATTAGAGAAAAAAGGATAAAAAGGAATGAGCAAAGTCTCCAAGAAATGTGGGACTATGTGAAAAGACCAAATTTATGTTTGATAGATGTACCTGCATGCGACGGAGACAATGAATCCAAGCTGGAAAATACCCTTCAGGATATTATTCAGGAAACTTTTCCTAAACTAGCAAAGCAGGTCAACATTCAACCCCAGGTAATACAGAGAACACCACAAAGATATTCCTCAAGAAGAGCAACCCCAAGGCACATAATCGTTAGATTCACCAGGGTTGAAACGAAGGAGAAAATACTAAGGGCAGCCAGAGAGAAAGGTCAGGTTACCCACAAAGGCAAGCCTATCAGACTTACAGCAGATCTCTCAGCAGAAACTCTACAAGCCAGAAGAGAGTGGGGGCCAATATTCAACATCCTCAAAGAACAGAACCTTCAGCCCAGAATTTCATATCCAGCCAAACTAAGCTTCACAACTGAAGGAAAAATAAAATCTTTTATGAACAAGCAAGTACTCAGAGATTTTATTACCACCAGGCCTGCTTTACAAGAGCTTCTGAAAGAAGCATTACACACAGAAAGAAACAACCAGTATTAGCCTTACTAAAAATATACCAAAAAGTAAAGAGCACCAACATAAAGAAGAATTTACATCAACGAATGGATCAAATAGCCAGTTAACATCAAATGGCAGTAACCCTAAATTTAAATCGACTAAATCCCCCAATCAAAAGACACAGCCAAAACCCAACGCCATGTTACATCCAGACCTGTTTCACATGCAAGGATACACAAAGACTCAAAACAAAGGGATGGAGAAAGATTTACCAAACAAATGGAGAGCAAAAATAAATAAATAAATAAAAAGCAGGAGTTGCAATTCTTGTATCGGATAAAATAGATTTTAAAGCAACAAAGATATAGTGGTAAAAGGATCAATGCAACAACAAGAGCTAACGATCCTAACACCCAAATATATAGAGTCTTAGATTCAATGAAACAGGAAATTAATAAGGATATCAAGGACTCGAACTCAGAACCGGAACAAGTAAATCTAATAAAAATTTATAGAGCTCTCCACTTCAAATACACAAAATATACATTCTTGTCAATACGACATCACACCTACTCATAGGTTTAAATGAAACATTGATTGGCCATTATTAATACCCATTTTTTTTCAGAATAAAGCAATATTTCTGTTCACCCTCCCTCTTTCTCTTCCTTGTTCTTCCTCTCCTTTACTCATTTTTTTTTTCTTTCCTTCTCTCAAAAAAAAAGAAAAGAAAAAAAAAAGAAATCAACTTGTAAACCTCTAGATCCAGGTCGGCAATGTCTCTCTTATTGCTTGATTTCCTTCCTTCCTTCCTCCTCCCTCCCTCCCTCCCCCCCTCCCCCCTTCCTCCCTTCCTTCCTTCCTTCATCTCTTCCTGCCTTCCCTCCCTTCCTCCCCCCCCCAAAAAAAAAAGCTAATCAAATAAAATAAGATATATCTAAATTAAAAAAAAAATAGAGATGGGGTGTCACCATGTTGGCCAGGCTGGTCTCAAACTCCTGACCTCAGGTGATCCACCTATCTCGGCCTCCCAAAGTGCTAGGACTACAGGTGTGAGCCACGGCGCCCGGCCTCTACAGACCTTTAAAGGCAGAGTTTTCTCCTGCTGGTAGCAGAAGGGGAAATGAAAAAGATCTGGCCAGGCACGGGGACTCATGCCTGTAATCCCAGCACTTTGGGACGACAAGGCGGGCAAATCACAAGGTCAGGAGATCAAGACCATCCTGGCTAACTCAGTGAAACCCTGTCTCTACTAAAAATAGAAAAAATTAGCCAGGTATGGTGGCACGCACCTGTAGTCCCAGCTACTCGAGAGGCTGAGACAGGAGAAGGCAGAGGTTGCAGTGAGCCAAGGTCATGCCACTGCACCTCAGCCTGGGTGACAGAGCAAGACTTCATCTCAAAAAAAAAAAAAAAAAAAAGAAGATGATCTGAATCAGAGAAAAGAAGACGATCTTCAACTTGTGGTTTGAAGATGGAAGGAGTCATGTGACAAGGGACGTGGGGGATCTTAAGGAGCCAAAAGAGGTCTCTGGCTGGCAGCAGACAAATGAAAAGGGACCTCAGTTCTACAGTTGCAAGGAACAAGATTCTGCCAACAATATGAATGAGACTGGACATGGACTGTCCCCAGGGCATCCAGAAAAGAGCCCAGCCAGGCCCACACCTTGATTTTGGCCCTGTGAGAAGCTAAGCAGAGGCCAGGTGCAGTGGCTCACACCTATAATCCCAGCACTTTGGGAGGCCGAGGCAGGCGGATCACCTGAGGTCAGGAGTTTGAGACCAGCCTGGCCAACATGGCAAAACTCCGTCTTTATTAAAAATTCAAAATTTAGACAGGTGTGCTGGCACATGCCAGAAACCCCAGCTACTACAGAGGCTGATACAGAAGAATCGCTTTAACCCGGGAGGTGGAGATTGCAGTGAGCTGAGATTGTGCCACTGCATTCCAGCCTGGAAAACAGAGTGAGACTCTCTCAAAAAAAAAAAAAAGCTAAGCAGAGACACCAGCCAAGCCCACCCTAAATTCTGACCCACAGAACCGTGAACTAACAAAGGATATTATTTTAAACCAGTAAATTTGTTGTAATTTGTTATATAACAATAGAAAACTAATATAACCGCTTAGAAAAAAGGCTATATTTGTATCTGAAAGAACCATGAACATAAAGAAAAATTTAGAAACAAAAGGTAAGAGTAATTATTGTTAACATAAAAATATTGACATAAAACTTCTTTTCTTCTTCTTCTTTTTTTAAGAGACAGGATCTTGTTCTGTCACCCAGACTGGAGTGTCATGGAGCAATCATAGCTTACTGCAACCTCAAACTCCTGGCCTTAAGCAATCCTCTCCATTCAGCCTCCCAAGTAGCTGGGACTACACGTGTGCTACTGCATCTTGTCCTAAAACTTATTTTTAATACTCATCTTTTAAACATTTCTGTAAATGCCTGTAATCCCAGCACTTTGGGAGGCCAAAGTGGGATCTCCTGAGGTCAGGAGTTTGAGACCAGCCTGACCAACACGAAGAAACCCCATCTCTACTAAAAATACAAAATTAGCCCAGCATGGTGGCACATGCCTATAAACCTAGCTACTCAGGAGGCTGAGACAGGAAAATCACTTGAACCCAGAAGGCGGAGGTTGCGGTGAGCCAAGATCATGCCATTGCACTCCAGCCTGGGCAACAAGAGCGAAAAAAACAAACCCCCCTATTTCTTTGCTTTTATTTTTTTATGTCTTCATTAAAAGCCCATGTTGAGATAGTGGGAAGGAGCTTGAAATGACCAAAAAGATGTGAATTCAAATTCCAGTTTTACAACTTCCTCCCTGTAAGGTCTTTAACGTGATGTTTGACTTTATCTCCTTCATCTACTAAATGTATAATAAGGCCTAACTGGCAGAATTACCGTGAAGATTTCAGATGAACTGAAGAATTCCAGGTGCCTGATAATTAATAATAACTAGTATTATTATATAACCAAAATAAGTATTATAATAAATATTACTATTGATATTCATGCCCTTTAGCCAGCCTGTGGCTACCAGTGGTAATTCTCATCCATCATCCAGTGTTTACAGGTTTCCCTTCACCACCTGGACGTTTTTTTACAGTTCTCCCCTCACCAGCCCAAGGCAAGTATTATTATTCTCCGACTTATAAATAAGTCACTGAGGCTTAGTGAGGTTGAACGACTTAACCCTGAGAAACAGCGAAATAGAAAACTAACATGTCTGATGTCTCCAAGTAAGGTGTTTTTTTTTTTTTCCTATTTCACTGGCAAGTGCTCAACTCACACCAATGTGGTGCTTCAAGGTGAATTTCTTATCTTACAGTGTGTCACACCCAGGCTTTGGTTTAAGACGAAAGAATGATATGTATACTCACAGAATCGCTGGCTACAGTGGGCAGGGCGACAGGCAATGCTGCAGGGGCAGGAGGGGTTACTGAAACTTCACCAGTTGGGTCTCTAGCAACAAGCATCCTGACTGAATTCCCACAGTTCCTTAGAACCTGTGCAACTTGCTCACTGGTCATTCCCTGCACATTTGTGCCACCAATCTTCAAGATGTGGTCCCCTGTCTGCAGTCTTCCATCCTTCAACCCAAGAAAAGACAAAATTATTTTGAGAAATCAATGCCCTAACTTCACCAGTTAATAACAATTCATCAGACTTTCAGCTCTCGCAAAATGGCTGACAAAGAAACACCTAAAATGCTGAATAAAATGGAATATTGTTAATAACTGGCTGAATTGGTGAGAATGAAGAAATTCCATGTAAAACACAAAGGAATGGCTCAGAATGAGAAAAGTAATCAGTATTCTAAAAAAGGTTTCTGCTTGAGGGTATAAACTCATGCCTAATGGCCTAGAGCTAGGGTGTTAATGGTCCTGTGTGCGGAAGAGGTCAGAAAGCTCAGGGCCTCAAGAAGGAAAGGTCAGCACAGAAGTCTCCAGCATAAAGCTGGGGACTTCAAAACTAACATGCTCAGTGACATGTTTTAGGATTAGAAAGATGCGAGTGTGGCTACAAGAAAATGAGGAAAAAGAAGAATAGCCCGCAAGATGGGGGAGTTAATGGAGTCAGACAGTACAGGGCATCTTCTTTGCATGATTGGAAAGGAAAGGCACAGAGGAATGACATTACCTGACTGACTTTAACAACATAATTCTAGCTTCTGTGCTTAAAAGAAACTATGCAAGCGGCAACGGTAGAAGCAAAGATACGAGTTGGGAGGTCTTAGCAATAATCCACAATAGCTTGGGTGTGGTTCGCAGTTGGGGTGTTCAGAAGTGAGACCCAAGATATATTTTTAGTAAACTGTCAATAGGATCTGCAGATAGCTTCTATATGGGCTGTGAGGGGGAGAAAGGACTCAAAACTCCAAGTTTTTAGCCTGAGCAACTGGAAAGATAGAGTAGAACTGAGATAAAGATACAGAGCTGTTACCTTAGATACTTACTAGACAGTCAAGTGGAGGTAACAGGTATACAGCCAGATACACAAATCTGGAGTTCAGGAGAGAAATCCAGACTACAAATTTAAATTGAGGAGTTGGGGAGAGGTCAAAAAAAAAAAAGCCTTGCAAGTCATTAGCACATATGAGGTATTTAAAGTCATGATTCTGCTGGCAGGGTGGCTCACACCTATAATCCCAGCACTTTGGGAGGTCAAGGTGGATGAATCTCTTGAGGCCAGGAGTTCAAGAACAGCCTGGCCATCATGGAGAAACCCTGCCTCTACTAAAAATACAAAAATTAGCCGGGTGTGGTGGCACACACCTGTAATCTCAACTACTCAGGAGGCTGAGGCATGAGAATCTCTTGAACCTCAGAGGCAGTGGTTGCAGCGAGCCAAGATCACGCCACTGCACTCCAGCTTGGGTGACAGAGCAAGACTCTGTCTCATAAAAAATAAAAATAAAGTCATGATTCCGAATGAGTTGAAAGAAAAGATACATAATGTTATGTCTCTTAAGCTAGGTAAGAGTGCATTACGCACTGGTAATTATTGCTTTGGTTTCTTTTTGTTGTTTAGATAGAGCCCCACTCTATTGCCCAAGTTGGTCTTGAAAACAATTATTGTTGTAATTATTATTTAAAATGTGCATAGATATTATATACATTCTTTTATATGTATGCATAGTTCATACACAAAGGGTTAATAATAATTTATCAAAATGAATATCTGTTCAAAATGTTCATTTCCCTTGTGAAATTTTTGAAACAGCTGATTTTTACAAAATTTTTCCTAAATTTGTTTAGTAGGAAATTTTGAATTCACTTTACTTATCTTTATTATAGTGTATTAAAGATACCACCATGTTAACATACCTGGCTTTATTTACACTTATACATGTAGAGCACCTCGCAGGTTCAAAATCACTTTCATGTACCATCTCACTTAGAGAAGGACAGCTTTCAAATCAGAAAATTGAGATATAAAAAGTTTGACTGACTTGGCCAAGGTCACAAAGCTGATAAAAGGGTTGAATCAAAGTTGAATCCAAGTTGCTCACTGAAGATTATTCTCATTTATTTAGTGATTTGCCTTATACTTCACTATCTCCAGAGTAATATTACTGTAGCAAGTCAATCTCCTACATGCAAAGGCTGCTAGTAGATAGCAAATTGACTGTTTTCCTGTTCCCCAAGAAACTGTCTATAACTCTCAAAAAGTTTGAATGAAATGAAGATGAAAAACAGATATTCTGCAACACAGAGAGAAAGCTTGAGAACAGAGCAATGACTACTGGGTTAATCCAGTCCTAAGCTTCAAATTTCTAGTTCCAGGTGGTACCAACTGCAAGCTAAAGATGAGATTCTGAAGGAATAAGTCTTTTTAAAAACTCTTAGACTGAAAAATCTATTCTTCATCCTTCCTTTTCTCCAATTTTACAGGAACCTAAATGAAGGAATGCTTTAGACTGAAACAGTGAGTACAAAGCTCTGCGTTTTGCTGTAAATGCCGCAGAAGGCACTGGAAGGGACTAGAAGTGGAGAGAAGCAATGCAGCAGAAATGCAATTTAATTCAGAAACATCTGGAAAGACTTAGAGAACAGAAACAGATCCAAGGAGGACATTGTTACGAAAAAAGGAATAAAGAATTGCTGGATTTCCACTTGAATAATGATAATTTGATATTCTGTTTTCATCCACGCAACAAACTTGAAACAAAATAAGCAACTACTTAAGAGAAAGTCAGTGGTCCTTATGAAAAACAAGAATAAAGTTGCCTCTGTAAATTGAACTATTCTTCAACAGAATTATGCCCTGATCAAAAAATTAAAAAATATGTCTAATAAGTGTTTTCATACTTGGCTTGGCTAAAGAAGGATATTTTATCATAAGGTATATTTTTAGTCACTTCCTAGGCATTATTTTTCTTCTATTTTACCTCAACTCTTAATTTAAAATGATGTAGATAATTTGCATCTGTCACTGAAAGTCAAACATTTTCTTCCTACAGAAAAGCAGGTGTTCTAAAGAATTCATAAGTACAAAAATAGTCATTAGTCAGATTGATAGAAAAACACCAAAATGACAGCTACCTTGTCTAAGTCCAGCAGCCCCAGACTGCATGTTATTGACATTTTCTGATCAACATTCTCCTTCCATAACCTGTCTTCTGTGTGAGGAAAGTGAAAGGCATAAAGTCCCTTTTGTTCTCTAACAGAAATCATCAATCAATGAAAACCAATAAATAGCTATGCCAAGATTCAAGTACATAGCATGCTAATAAAACATTTACATATAAAAGTTTATTCATCTATAGATTCTTTCAAAAGAGAAAAAAACTATGCATATCTGATTTTTTGATAACACACCAAAACTTGACAAGTGATGGTTTCTTATACAGTTACAATGTAGAATCTGGAACTGTATCACCAATATGGTGAAACCCTGCCTCTACTAAAATATAAAAATTAGCCGTGCATAGTGGTGGGCACCTGTAGTCCCAGCTACTTGGGAGGCTGAGGCAGGAGAATCACTTGAACCTGGGAGGCAGAGGTTGCAGTGAGCCGAGGTTGTGCCACTGGACTCCAGCCTGGTGACAGAGCAAGACATCATCTCAAAAAAAAAAAAAAAAGCAAGCCTAAGACTATTTTCCTTTAAAAGGCCTTCTCACAAGGTTAGCCCTTGGCTAACACCTGGGAGCTTAGACTCCGTGAGGGTTCTCACCATTCCCTGGTAAACATGGCTCCAGGCACCTCAAGTGTGGTTTCTCCTGAACACTTGCATTCTCCTGGAAGTCAAGGATGTCAGTATATGCCACACAGTGTGTGCCTACATGACCAGCATCCAGTAACAACACTGTACACTGAGTCTCTGATGGGTTTCCATGGCAGACATTTTAGAAGTGTGGTCATAATTCATTGCTGGAAGATTTAAGTGTGCCCTCTATGGCTCCACGGGGAGAGGACTCGTGGAAGCTGGTGCCTGGTTTTCTCCAGACTCCACCTCATGCACCTTTTCCATGTGGATTTTGCTTTGTATTCTTTCACTGTGATAGCTGTATGCACAACTGTCTGCCGAGTCCTATGAGTCCTCCTAGCAAGTCATCAAACCTGGTGGTCTTGGGGACCATTTTAGAAGTAGGAAATTAAGCCAAGATGTCATTTTCCCAGAGAGAGGTGGATCCAGAATTCAAGCCTTCATCTGTCTGATTCAAAAGCTCACACACTATAATCCTATGCTCTTTCCTTTCAGAGGCTTATTTAGATGTAAGTGAGCTGAGAAGAATTTCTCCAAAGGTAGCTCTAGGGAGGGTGTACGCCACGTCTTGTGCCATAGCCTAGGGCCTGAGGGTGCTGCCGCTTAAGTCATTTCATGAGCAAGCATAACATTGACTGGTGACAGGCAACAAATGAGGCAGGCCAAGGAAGGAGATACGTGGATCACAGCAAGAAGGTGGAAGAGGTTTTATTTGCCGTCAGCTGACATGAGAGGAAAGGAGAAGTGAATACTGCGCTGTCCCCTGTGTCTGGCCTTACCATATGCCCTCTGCTGTTCCTATAGCTGACTACTCCCTGTTGATGGATGTGAACAACTGTGCGCAGGTATAAACATCAGGTTTAACTTTGGATAAATTCAAACAACAAAGCTCAGACTTCAGAATCAAACAAATACGAGCTCAATCCTGACTTTGTCGCTCACCTAGCTGCTGTAGGCTTGGGCAATTTCTTAATGGTTTCCATATCTATAATTTGGGAGTAAAACTTATAAGACTGTTTTGAAGGTTACATGGGAATAATGTACATTAAGCAGATAACAATGTCTGGCAATAAGTACTTGCTTCTATTTGAGCACTTATGACCCTGTGACAAGCATACCCTCTACCTCCTCTTTGATGATCTGAAATAGTGACGATTCCTTCCAGTAAAGGGCGAAAATCAGACTTGGGCTTTTTCCAACAATGCCTCAATGGGATTAATCTGGGAAACTCTGCACATCTTATTCTTGTGAAAATTCATACAGCACGTTAGTATTTTAAAAGCTCAGAAAATTCTTACAGGAAAGAAACTTATTTGATTTTGTTTAAATTTACTTGACCTTTTGTTTTGCACAAAAACCACTCCACTTTGCATTTTAGGAAAAAAAATGCCACTCCAACTAACAAACCTATTAAAATTGCTAAGGCACAGGGAGAAGGGAGGGAATACAAAGAAAGGCATTTCAAAATTGGCTGCAATATTCATTCTTTCCAGGTTATAAAAAAAATTTTAAGAATTCTTAAAGAATATTATTTGTTTTGTGCCACAGATATGTGTGGTTTTTGTTTGTTTGTTTGTTTTCTTGAGACAGAGTCTTGCTCTGTCACCCAAGCTGGAGTGCAGTGGCATGATCTCGGCTCACTACAACCTCTGTCTCCTAGGTTCAAGCGGTTCTTCTGCCTCAGCCTCTCGAGTAGTTGGGATTGCAGGCTTGCATCACCACACATGGTTAAGTTTTTGTATTTTTAGTAGAGATGGGGTTTCACCTTGTCAGCCAGGCTGGTTTCAAACTCCTGACCTCAAGTGGTCTGCCCGTCTCAGCTTTCCAGAATGCTGGGATTTCAGGCGTGAACCACAACACCCAGCCACAGATGTGTTTTAAAGGTCTATGAAATGAACATTCTCAAATATTCTGTTCTCAGAACTTGCTAAAGTTTGGACATTTGTCCCCAAAGAAACCTTTGTCCCCAAAGAGTTCGAGATCAGCCTGGCCAACATGGTGAAACCCCATCTCTACTAAAAATACAAAAAATTAGCCGGGTGTGGTGACACATACCTATAATCCTAGCTACTCAGAAGGCTGAGGCATGAGAATCACTTGAACCTGGGAGGTGGGGCCCAATGGAAGGTGTTTGGGTCATAGGGGTGAATCCCTCGTGAAGGGCTTCGTACAGTGAGTTTACCTGGTGCAGTGAGTTCTCACTCTGATTGTTAAAAAGAGCCCCTCTCCATCACCATCTTCATCCCTACAACCTGTCCTATGCTTTTTCACTGTCCACATGATCTCTGCACACACTGGCTCTCCTTCACCTTCCACCATGGAAGCAGCCTGAGGCTTTCTCCAGATGCCAAATTTTCCAGCCAGCAAAACTAAGCTAAATAAACCTCTTAAATTACCCAGCCTCAGCTATTTCCTTATGGCAACACTAAATGGATGAAGACAGAACTCCTTCACATTCTTAAAAATCATTAAGGATGGAGGGATAGGAATCACCAAGTAGCGCAAGAATCTGCTGGGGGTAATAAATAGGCTCATTATCTTGATTGTGGTAATGGATGATATAACAGTTAAATTATAAGTGTCAACTTGGCTAGAATGTGGTGCTGACTGTTTTGGTCAAACACTAGTCTAGATGTCGCTGCAAAGGTATTTTGTAAACATGATTAGCGTATACGAACAGTTGACTTTAAGTAAAAAAAGATTGCCCTCCATGAGCCTCATCCAATCAGTTAAAGAATTCACAAGTAAAAACTAGATTTCGTAGGGAAGGAATTCTGCTTCAAGAACGTAACACAGCATCCTGAGAAATTCTGCCAGCCTGCCCTGTGGATCTCAAACTCAAGACTATAACATCAACTCTTGTTTGAGTTTTGCCAGCCCCCACCATGGCATGAGCCAATTTTTAAAAATAACCTCTTTATATATGCATACACACACACACACACAGACACACACACACACACACACACACACACCCAATTGGTTCTGTTTCTCTGGAGAAACCTGACTGCTGGTAAAGATGAATTCACAAATGCATTCATATGCAAAAATTGGTACTGAGGAATTTTTTTAATATTTAATATTTCATATGTTAATTTTTATCAATATATATTAATGTCTATATTTTTAAAGAGCTATATTATCTAAAATAAGAAATATTAGAGTAAAACTGTTTAATATTTTTACAAATCTCTTTAATATCTGGCTTAAAGGAAAACAGCTGAACTCATCTGCTTCTGCATTCAATATGTTAGGACATACTGTTTCACAAGTATATGAAGGATATCTGGCCTCAATCTGATTCTTTGATAACACACCAAAACTTGACAAGTGGTGGTTTCTTATATAGTTACAATGTAGAATCTGGAACCATATCAACAAACTGTCAAACACTATTTTATTAAAATACACTGATACATCTTGATTTTCGAAAGGATCTTTTAGCTATGTGTTATTTTGTCATATCACATACTGGTCTTCAGAAAATACCGAGGCTGAGTATGGTGGCGCACGCCTATAATTCCAGCACTTTGGGACACCTAAGCAAGAGGATAGCTTGAGGCCAGGAGTTCGAGACCACCCTGGGAAACAAAGCGAGACGTGTCTCTACAAAAAATAAAAATGAGGCTGGGGGGTACAGTGTCTCACACCTGTAATTCCAGCACTTTGGAAGGCCAAGGCAGGAGGATGGTGAAACCCATCTCTACAAAAAATACAAAACTTAGCCGGGCATGGTGACCTGTGCCTGAAGTCCCAGCTACTCTGGAAGCTGAGGTGGGAGAATCACTTCAATCCCAGAGGCAGAGGCTACGTGAGCCAAAATCACCACTGCACTCCAGCCTGGGTGACAGAGCAAGACTGTCTCAAAAAAAAAAAAACCATGTTGGTTAATATCAATCACCAATGTAATCAGAAATGCCTTTCTTTTTCTTTTCTTTTCTTTTTTTTGAGACAGGGTCTTACTCTGTTGCCTAGACTGGATGGAGTTCAGTGCCAGGATCTCAGCTCAAAGAAGCAGCCTCTGCCTCCCAGGCTCAAGTGATCCTTCCACCTCAGCCTCCAGAGTACCACCACACCCAGCTAACTTTTGTGTCTTTTGTAGAGACAGGATTTTGCCATCTTGCCCAGGCTGGTACTGAACTCCTGGGCTCAAGGGATCCTCCCAGCTTGGCCTCCCAAAGTACTGGGCTTACAGGCCTGAGCCACCACCCCCAGCCGCAGAAAAGCTTTCAAATATTAAGGACGTGTCAAGCTCATGATAAAATACAAATCTTCCAAAATTCTAATTTTTGCTTAAGCTCAATTTTTATTGTTGCCAACAGTGTCAGTTGTTTTCCTTGAAATAACAGGTTCACATCATCCATTCTCAAGAAAACATCTTCCAAATACCTATCTGGATAAACATAATTTTTCTGCAGTTATTTTTATAAAAATAAAAATGTTGTTCCACATAAAAAAGTAGCAGATTCATCTTGCAAATTACTTTCCTTAAGACAACCATCATACTTCAGTACATAGTAAGAACGCTACACAGTATTTCCCGCTTTGACAATATTCAAAAGACAGGCACTAAATGGTCAAAATGTACTGAAATTAATCATTTTACTGCATCATAAAAAACTCCAAGCGATGGGTGCAGCAAACCACCATGGTACATGGATACCTGCATAACAAACCTGCACCTTCTACACATGTGCCCCAGAACTTTAAGGGTAATAAAAATAATAATAATAAATATCCAGAGGGGAGGAAAAAAAAACTCCAAGCACACAGCACTTTCAGTTTAAATACTGCTAAACAATGAAAGATAGTCATTTAACTTAGAAGGCCATAAATTTTAATTCAAGTGAAATTTACCATGTATAATATTAGGACAAATGTTTATAATCACTGTATCTTCTGATTTTAACATTTAGGCCATCGAAAGATACACTAGAGGAGAATAATACAGATGCTCAAAATGCAATATTCATTAACAACTCTTTTTAATAAAAAAAAAATTGTCCTCCAATGGAATCATGAAGCCTGTCAATTATAAGGAAAACAAACCCCAAAAATGTTGATTTAGGAACTGGTTAAAATAAGACAGAGACTATACTAATAATACTTACAGAATAAGCCATTTTTAAGCTATACTTAAATTCTACTTATTAAGTCATATATCTGGTGACTCATGTTTTAAAATTACATTTCAATTCATACAACTTAAATTTTATAAAACCAAAATGATAACAAGGAAGGTTGACTTACCCGATCTGCTAATCCTCCAGGAACTATAGTCCTCACAACCACGCCACTTGTTTTTCCTCCAACTATTCCAAAACCTAGTCCAGAGCCATCATTAATGAGCTCAACCTCTTCAACATGGCCCCAACAAACCTACAAATTAATAGCAAATAAGAGTCGCAGTATCAGTAATACCCACAGATTCTTAGCTTTCCAATATCATCATTACCAAAGTAACAGATTTGCAATAAATTTAACATTCACACAATTAATAAAGGCAACTTTCTATAGGCTAAAATATACAGACAGAGATAATCATACAATCCCTGCCCATAGGAATCTTATAATCCATTAGAGAGAAACTAAAACACAAATAATTAAAGTACAAGGCAGCATACCGGATCATAAGACACTGTAGCCCTAAGAGCATAGAAGACATTTCTCATTCCTCACTCTATGCCTGATGTCCAGCACAGTGCCCAGAACATAGTAGGGACCAATAAATATGTGTCTCCTTGAAAGAGAATCACAAATATTATAAAGATTTTTTTGCGGGGAGGGGAGCACATGAAGTCAAAACCAATGAAGAATTGTAGAAAACTTCAAGGAAAAGGGGCATTTAAGTTGCATTACAAAGGAAGACATTCAAGCAAAAAGAAAATGTAAGGGCAAAGCTAGGCCAGCTAACAGAATGGATGAAAGATATGGTCAAAAGCTTGGATTTAACTTAGGAATTAAGTGGAAATATTTAAAGGTTTTAGAAAAGAAATGACAGGAGCAAAGCAGTGATTTAAGAAAATTCATCTGGCAGCAATGTGAAGAATCTAATGCTGGAAGGACACAAGGTGGAGAGACTAATTTAGGAGACTCTTACGAGGGAGAGGAAAGGTAGGCCTCACTGAATATATCAGCAAGAGGATTATATAAATCAGACTAAAGACATGAGCATTTCCCCTCTAGCTAGCAGGTTTCTATGACAAATATGCATTACTTCACATAATCCAACTGCAGAACAATATCCTCCCTCTCAAGATCATTAGGGCATACTCATTACACACACACACACACACACACACACTCTCTCTCTCTCTCTCTCTCTCTCTCTCTCTCTCTCTCTCTTTCTTTCTTGAGACAAGGTCTCACTGAGTTACCCAGGTTAGAGTGTAGTGTAGTGCAAGATCAGAGCTCACATCAGCCTCAAACTCCTGGGATCCATCCATCCTCCAGCCTCAGCCTCCCAAAAAGCTGGAACTACAGGTATGCATCACCAGGCCCTGCTAATTTTTTTCTCTTTTGTACAGGTGGGCTGTTTTTATCTGTTTGTTTTTGAGACACAGTCTCTCTCTGTTACCCAAGCAGGAGTGCAGTGGCACAGTCTCAGCTCACTGCAACCACCACCTCCTCAGTTCAAGCAATTCTACTGCCTCAGCCTCCCGAGTGCTCAGCTAACTTTTGTATTTTTTAGTAGAGACAGGTTTTCACCATGTTGGCCAGGCTGGTCTCAAACTCCTGACCTGAGGTGATCCGCCCACCTCAGCCTTCCAAAATGCTGTGATTACAGGCATGAGCCACTGTGCCTGGCCATAGAGGTGGGATTTGACTATGTTCCCCAGGCTAGTCTCATACTCTTGGCTTTAAGAGACCCACCTGCCTAGTCAACTCACCTAATCTCCAAGTGCTGGGATTACAGGTGTGAGCCACCATACCCAGCCAGGTTTTCTATTATACTAAATTACTATGTAGTCTTAAATTAAAAGCAATATTGGAATTGTTTAATAAATTCTGGGAAACAATGATGTTTGCTAAAATAATATGCCTGACTTAATATTAGCTGATAGCAACTAATAGTCAAAGAACGTACACTCAGCACCAGGCATGGTGCTTAGTTTTTCACATGACTTCTCATTCAAGCCTCACAACATCTCTGAGAACTAGACACCGTTATTAGTTCCAAGTAACAGATGAAGAAACGAAAGTATGAGGTAAAGGAGTCTGCCTGGTCTGACCCCACTAGGATATGGAAGAAATGGTCTTGAACGCATCCAAGCCCAACTCCAAAGCGCTTGTTCTTTATAGGTTAAACAATGTCCCACTTTATTCACTGTATTTATTATGTAAATTCTGCTGTGTAAATATTGCTGATTGCAACAGGGAAAATGCCTATACATTAATTTTTGTTGTGACCTTGTATTGTACCGAGACAGTCTTGTTTTTTCTTTTGTCCCAATGCATAAAAATTAAATAAATCAGCCAGCACTTAGTGTTATAAGAAAATAAGATTTATTAGCTTGCATTCTGATGATGCAAGCCAAAATCTGTAAAATGTTAAAAAGTAAAAGGGTTCCCAAAAAAGACATATACTTTTATTCTTTTAAATTGTTCAGTATGTGTCTTTACATGAAAAAAGCCTGCTATAATTTTACAATATCAATAATCTAGTCATAAATTCCCTTATAATTTTCAAAAATAATTTTTCAAATAAATAATCAAATCTTACTTTGAACACTCAACAGTAAATCCCTAATAAAAACTCTCAATTAATTGGCTACATCACCAAGGAACATAAGACACTCCATCACTAAATAAATTACACCTAATACTTCCATTTGTCCTCTGTATTAAATAATAATTTTAAACAAAGAGACCCATAGGACATTGGAAAAAAAACCTTCATGAAATATCTTCTTTAAATATGCTAACGCTGCCTTCAGAGATATGATCATCTTTCTCGAACTATGAAAAGTAAAACAGGTTGGGTGCAGTGGCTCACGCCTGTAATTCCAACACTTTGGGAGGCCGAGGTGGGTAAATCACTTGAGGTCAGGAGTTCAAGACCAGCCTGTACAACACAGTGAAACTCCGTCTCTACTAAAAACACAAAAAATTAGCCAAGTGTGGTGGCAGGTGCCTGTAGTCCCAACAACTCCAGAGGCTGAGGCAGGAGAATCGCTTGAATCCAGGAGGCAGAGGTTGCAGTGAACTAAGATCGCGCCACTGGCCACTGCACTGCAGCCTGGTCAACAAGAGCGAAACTACATCTCAAAAAAAAAAGAAAAAGAAAAAAGTAAAACGACACCTTCTAAATGTCTTTATTCTTCTTACAATCAATGACATAATTCAAAATTAAGTATTTTTTCACATTTGCAACTCACTGTTTCAGGCAGAGTAGTATCAGTCAGGCTGCTAGAAGTGCCGCTTTTTGTGTGGACTGGCTCCCTGGCCACAATCAGGTGCAAAGATCCGGTGGGGTGTTGTAATAATGCAATGGCTTGCTGATGGGAAATGTTCTGATCCAATGGCGTGTGATTAATGGCCAATATTTGATCATTTTCCTTTAATCTTTGATCCCTTAATCACATAAGAAAAAAAAATTTTGTTTTAAGTGATCTAATAGCCTGATTTTTAAAAAACAATTATTCAAGTTAAGCAGTTTGTTGCCTATGGTACTACTTCACTTAGTACATTTATCAAATAATTATTTAATTATATAACAGAGCCTTTCAGAGTGGTTTTTACAGAAGTTATTCACTAATTACCGAATTTGGTAATGCATCCTTAAACACAAGGACATATTTTAAAAGCCATCTGGCTAGAAAAATAAACAAAAACAGGCCGGGCATGGTGGCTCATGCCTGTAATCCCAGCACTTTGGGAGGCCGAGGTGGGTGGATCATGAGGTCAGAATTTTGAGACCAGCCTGGCCAACATGGTGAAACCCCATCTCCACTAAAAATACAAAAATGAACCAAGCATGGTGGTGCACGCCTGTAATCTCAGCTACTCAGGAGGCTGAGACAGAAGAATCGCTTTAACACGGGAGGCGGAGGTTGTGGTGAGCCGGAATCATGCCATTACACTCTAGCCTGGGTGACAGAGCAAGACTCTGTCTCAAAAAAAAAAAAAAGAAAAAAGAAAAGAAAAACAATCTATAGAATCTTTAGGACCTTGCCAAGGTTTTGTAAGTATGGACACTGCCTCCATTACTGCATGAACCCAATACTCCCAAATCCCTTCCAGTCTGATCTCTACCCGTACCACACTGGGGTAACAACAGTCTCAACTATACCAATAACCTCATCGCACCCCATCTTCACTGTCTACTTGTCCTCTTTATCAATAGAGGTCAAACCTTCCTTGAAAATTCATAGAGATTACTTCCAAATTTCTATCTGAGCCTTTTTTTTTTGAGGCAGGGTCTCACTCCCATTTGCCCTGGCTGAAGTGCAATGGCACAATCGTAGCTCACTGCAGCCTCAACCTCATACACTCAGGTGAATATCCTACCTCAGCCTCCTGAGCAGCTGAGACTACAGGTGTGAACTCCCTTGCCCAGCTAATTTTTACATTTTTTTGTAGAGACAGGATTTTGCCATGTTGTCCAGGCTGGTCTTGAACTCCCAAAGTGCTAGGATTACAGCCATGAGCCACTAAACTTGGCCAATCTGAACACTTTTAATCTCTCCCAAGCACCAATCTCCCAACTGCTAACCAGGGTAGGAAGGACTATTTTTAAAAGACATTAGCAAAATCTCTAAAGAAAAATAGTATTTACTGAGCACTTATTATGAGTCAAGTACTATGTTAAGTGCTTTACATGCATCTCACATAATCCTTATTTCACCTTTAAAGTACCTAGTAAATTTTACACATTAAGGAATTGAAGCCTAGACAAGCCTAGTATCTTATCAAGAGTCAGATTCTGAACACAGCCTTTAACTTCTTGTTGAAGTGCATCCTAAAGATAGCCTAGGATTTACTCTGTCCTGGTTTACTGCATTTGATTTTATTATCTCCCAAACATCACTGATATTCTTCCTCTTCCAGTTTACCCATTCTCACCACAATTCTTGAAGAATTACTGCCTTAGATGTCAGAAAAAAAACACGCAAAGTGATGGAAACCCATTATGTTTGAAATCTGAGTTGGGGAGACCAGAATTAATCCCCCATGAATGAAGAACGTGAATTCAAAAATATTGACTAAGAATCTTAAAGTAGTATACTACCATTGTTGCTGTTATTCTAACATGCACACTGGAATAGCATACTTACTAAATAAATAACAAACCAAAGACTGGAAATCAAACAGAAACAAAATAGAAGGCTTGCAAATACCCCTTCGAAAATAAAAGCAAATGCAACATGGGAGATAACACAGACTTGAGGGGCCTCTTAATTGACAAGAAGAATAATAAATCAGTAGAGTGGCAAGATCACCAAAATGTTGTTATAATCTTAAGAATAATAAACAATATGCAGAATGAGAATTTCAATATTCCTATCCTACTGATCAGTCCATAGCTAAAATATCATTTAATTATAAGAGAGGGTAATAGAGCGCTAGCTTTCGGTCAGATAGTCTTGGAATCACATCATGGCTCCAGCATTAACAGCTCTGTGACAATGGATTGACCACTGAACTGCTGAATCTCAGCTTTCTCATCTATAAAACAGAATGATGATACCTATATAGTGGAACTGCTGCCACAGGGTGTAGGAGAGTATTCGCAAAAGGCCTGATGAATACATAGCAAAAGCTAAAGCAAATGTTACCTGCTATTATTACTGTTTTTATTAATAGTTTTTCACTCTCTTTATGATAGTTTTCAGAATTATCAGGAAACAATTAGCAAATGAAAATAAACAGCTTCCTCACCTGTCTGCTACGCCCCCTGGCTGGACATCCTTCACAAAGATATCAACTTTTCCCTGATTTTGACTTCTGAGGGCCACCACACTGAATCCAAGACCTCCAGTTGAAGGTCGCTCTATATCTATATATTCAATTTGCCGCCCCTAATGAAAAAGCATTAAAAAAAAAATTCGATGGTGTACATTTAACCCACACACCCTTTCTGCAGAACTGAAATTGCTTAGCATAAAAACAGCTCCTCCTAAAAACCACATAAACTCAGCATTTCAGTAATAAATTATTTCTGGAAATCCTTTCACTTGATTATTTTCAGTAGAACATAAGAGAAAGTGTGCAGTATTCTGCAACCTCAGGGAATCAGAGGTATTTTTACACTTCATTCACATCATGAGATGACTCCCAAGCTGGATGGAAATTCCTGAGAAAAATGCCTTTTCCCATAGTAAACTCTCAATTACTTTTTTACATTGAATTTCCTTAAATTATCTTGATGCAAAGTACATTTTTTAAAAATTTTATTCTTTGAGACAGGGTCTTGCTCTGTCGCCCAGGCTGGAGTACAGTGGCATGATCTCTGCTCACTTCAACTTTTGTCTCCTGGGCTCAAGCAATCCTCCTGCCTCAGCCTCCCAGGGCTGGGACTATAGGCGCATACTACCACACCTGTCAAATTTTTGTATTTTTTGTAGAGACAGGGTTTTACCATGTTGCCCAGGCTGGTCTCAAACTCCTGAGCTCAAATGATCCACCTGCCTCAGCCTCCTTTTTTTTTTCTGAGGCAATGTCTTACTCCCATTTGCCCAGGCTGAAGTGCAATGGCACAATGGCACAATCTCTCTGAGCCTACAGATGGAGCCACAGGGCCCAGCTACGAAACGTATTTTTAAATGAGGAAAATAAATTAGATATATCAAAAACGCCAGTATATATATATAGCCTAAGTCAGAACCCAGCTGGTTCTGACTTACGCTATATACTGGCATTAAATGGGTTCTACCTGTGGTAGCAGGTATTTTATTGATTTAGTTAATAACTGCACTTATAACATGAGAACTTCACAAATGTGATCAACTAAAAAAAAAGCACCACATAAAAATAATTATTAGTCAAATGAAAGAGACAGAACTATAAAATTACAAAAAAATTAGGTCCAGAATATGATTTAATTATCGTAATTTAGACAGATTCTTTTTAACAGTGAAACTCAAGTTTATTTATTTATATTCTTTTTTTTTTTAAGATAGAGACTAGGCTGGATTGCCGGCGCAATCTCAGCTCACTGCAACCTCTGCCTCCCGGATTCAAGCGATTCTCCTGCTTCAGCCTCCTGAGTAGCTGGGATTACAGGTGCCTACCACCATGCCCGGCTAATTTTTTTGTATTCTTAGTAGAGATGGGGTTTCACCATGTCAGCCAGGCTTGTCTCAAACTCCTGACCTCGTAATCCACCTGCCTTGGCCTTCCAAATTGTTGGGATTACAGGCATGAGCCACTGCGCCCAGCTATTTGTTTTTTAAGAGACAGGTCTTGGCCAGATGCAGTGGTTCACACTTGTAATCCCAGCAGTTTGGGAGGCTGAGGCAGGTGGATCACAAGGTCAGATGATCGAGACCATCCTGGCCCATATGGCGAAATCCCATCTCTACTAAAAATACAAAAATTAGCTGGGCATGTTGGCACATGCCTGTAGTCCCAGCTACTTGGCAGGCTGAGGCATGAGAGTTGCTTGAATCCAGGAAGTGGAAGTTGCAGGGAGCCGAGATCATGCCACTGCACTCCAGCCTGGTGACAGAGCAAGACTTTGTCTCAAAAAAAAAAAAAAAAGAGAGACAGCTCTTGCTCTGTCACCCAGGCTGGAGTACAGTGGCACAATCATAGCTCACTACTATAGCCTTGAATTTCTGGGCTCAAGTGATTTACCCACCTCACCCTTTCAGGCAGTGTTTCATCACTTCTGGCAAGCTATATTAATTTAGCTCCTGTCATCAAAATGTTTAAGAATCTTTCCTTAGCAAGAACAGAGATGCATTCAATTAGCCATTGTCTAAAAATTCTCCTTAGTGAGACCTTATCTCAAAAAAAAATGTTAACTAATTAATTTTTTTAAAAACTCTCCTTACCACATACATGGATACTTTCCTTATGAAATTTTAAGCCAACAAAATTTCAACATGAATGTTAGAAAATGGTGTTAGTTCCTCCTAACATAAAAATACAAGCAAGCAAAATACATACTAACACATTTTACAGCAAAAAGGAGTATTAAATTCCTTTTTAAAACTCAAGCAGGAGAAATGAAGCTAAATATTTCCATAAGAAGATACAACTTTACCTGAGCCAGCTGCTGAATGACTGAGTTAAAGTCTTCATTTTCCAACTTTGGGGTCCAGGGAAATAGCCCAGATACAGTCGAGTTACTAGCGGGTCTGTGGGCATTTCCATTGGTAATGGAGCTATCCGTGAACACTAACAAACCTTTCCTAGAAAAATCAAAGTTGGCTGAACAATCTGAGGGTATATGGTTGAGCTGTTGGAGAGAAAAAAAAAGAATCATCAACAGAAATCTAAAGAAAAATTGTGTCTATTTGTTAAATATTATATTTTGACCATTACATGGATAATTTGCACATTAATTATATACATGGGAAAGAAATAAGGTAAAGATACATCAATCTGTGTATTCACAAGGCTAGAATTTTTTTAAATTTAGTATTATACAAAATGTGTAAAGGCTTAACATTTGTTCTTGTTTCCTGCCTTCTACCACTACTCGAAGTTAACAACATGTACACTGACATCCCATTACACTTCACATATACAGATCCATCCAGTCATATAAAAGTGTAAGGCACTAAACCCTTTTGCATTTGTCTGTACATTTTCATGTGGGGAGCCACAAATGATCTATAGGTAGTATGTGATGATAATAATAACTGTACTTAAGTGCTTGCTATGAATAAGTATTGTACCAGAATGATTACAGGTATTATCATTTAATTCTTACAACAGTCTAATGAGATATCATCATCCCAAAAACTGAGGCACACAAGGGTTAAGTAACTTACTCAAGATTAGTAGTAAGTGAGTCACAGAGTCACTTAAACTGGTAGAAAGAGAAGAATCATGTAATTACGGTGGACATAATTTAAAATAACACTGGCTGATACAACTGCCGAAACAGTGGAATAAAGGTAACATTAAGAATAAATGTCAGTGGTAAAAGCCCGTCTCTACTAAAAATATAAAAGTTAGCTGAGCATGGCGGTGTACACTTGTAATTCCAGTTACTTGGGAGGCTGAGGCAGGAGAATTGCTTGAACTCCACAGGTAGAGGCTGCAGTGAGCCAAGATTGCGCCGCCACTGCACTCATCCTGACAAAATGAGACTCTGTCTCAAAACAAAACAAAAAAAAAGACTGACTGTCAGGCTGGTTGTGATGGCTTACACCTATAATCCCAGGACTTTAGGCGATCAAGACAGGAGGACCACTTCAGGCCAGGAGGTCAAGACCAGCCTGGGAAAGAAAGTAAGACCAGCGTCTCAATAAAAAATACAAAAATTGGCTGGGCATGGTGTCACATGCCTGTGTGAGAATTGCTTGAGCCCAGGATGTCGAGGCTACAATGATCCAGGATCACATCACTGCAGTCTAGCCTGGGCAGAAACTCTGCCTCAAAAAAAAAAAAGAGGCCGGGCATGGTGCCTCAGGCCTATAATCCCAGCACTTTGGGAGGCCGAGACGGGGGGACCTGAGGTCAGAAGTTAGAGAATAGCCTGGCCAACATTGAGAAACCCCATTTCTACTAAATATACAAAATTAGCTGAATGTGGTGGTATATATGTGTAGTCCCAGCTACTCGGAAGGCTAAGGCAGGAGAATCACTTGAACCCAGGAGACAGAGGTTGTGGTCGTACTGAGCCGAGAGCCAAGATTGTACCATTGCATTCCAGCCTGGGCAACAAGAGCAAAACTTCTTCTCAAAAAAAAAAAAAGAGAGGGAATGTCAATAAAACCTCACAGAAAAAATCTAAATCAAAACCCCTGGTTACAGGGATTATACAGCCCAATGGATAAAATATGACTGTGCACACAGCAACTGCAAACTATACCAATATAAAGAACTGCTATTAGGATAGGGCGGTTAGTTAGATCCACTCTTAGTCCAACGAATGCGATGGATTTCTACCGATCCTTGCCAATTTCACTTGTTATCAACAGCATTCACGATTGTGATATTCCATGACAAAGAGAAATAGAGAAAGCTAGACATCAATATGGGCAGTGCTAACATTAGGGTATAAATCATGGTCTAAAGAAAGCAATTCACAGAAAGACATATGTGTAGACTTTAATCCTTAATTGGCTACGAACAAATCACTCACAAAATACTTAATAAGTGAGCATTTTAGTTTATGAGCAAAAGCCATTTTTCCCAAATTTTGTAAATTTTCACTTAACCCTGATAAATTATCTCCAATTATGTTTTAAATTCTGCCCAAATTTCATCTATACTATAGCTACCATTCAAGCTCTGCTTCCAGAATCGGTGATTTAAAAGTAATTTGCCATCCCTGACTCCAAAACAGAGAATCCAAGAGGACAGTCAAAAACAATTAATTTCTGGTTTGATCTCAGCACCAAAAAAAAATCCCACAACTACTAATTTGCACCCCTTTAAAGTGCTGTGTGTCCCTTATTCAATAATGATGTACTAGAGCCTGCAGAGTCCAGAGAGTCTGGTAAATGAGTAGAGGAAACACAACTATATATTTAAATATCGGGATACTGCTTCCAAGGAACTTCTAATGAGAATATGCATTAGAGATACAATAAATATTTGATAATTAAGAGAAGTGTGATTATCGTGCTATAAGGGCATGATCACTTCTTGTTAGATAAAAGACTTCATAAGGAAAATACGCCTGGGCGAGGAGGCTCATGCCTATAATCCCAGCACTTTAGAAGGCTGAGGTAGGAGGACTGCTTGAGGCCAATAGTTTGAGACCAGCCTGGGCAACATAGGGAGACCCTGTCTCTCTAAACAATTTTAAAAATCAGACTCAGTGTGGTGGCACACACCTATCTCAGCTGCTCTGGAAGCTGAGGTGGGAGCATTGCTTGAGCCTGGGAGGTCAAGGCTGTGGTGAGCTAAGATCACACCACTGCACCCCAGCCTCAGCAACAGAGAGAAACCTTCTATCAAAATAAAAAGAAAATATATTTAAGTACTATTTTATAATTTTGAAAAAGATGTTGAGAATTCTCAAAGTATCTGACCTTTACATAAATAAGTAGTACAAAAACTATATTCTAATATCAAACACAACTTTTTTTTTTTTTTGAGAGACAGGGTGTCACATTATCATCCATGCTGGAGTGCAGTGGCATAATCATAGCTCACTGCAACCTGGAACTCCTGGGCTTAAGCGATCCTCCCACCTCAGCCTTCTGGGACTACCCAGGAGTGACTGGTAGCTGGGTACTGGTAGCTGGGTGTGGTGGCTGGGACTACCAGTACACGCCATCACACCCAGCTACAAAACAAAAAATTGACTATTGATATTTTAAAATTATCCATGCCAATGCTACCCACAGGTTACAGATCCCAATACAGTCTCTTTGCTGAACTGATTCCTTAAAGATAATTTGTCTTTGTCTATCTCCTTTATCTTTCTTTGATGGTTTGAATATATTAATATAATATATTAATGTAAAACTCTGATGGGTAACTTACTTGCCCCTTCAGTTGCTTGATGGACTGCTGAAGTGTGAGTATCTGGTTGAAGAGAGGACTCTTTAGTGTCTCATAAAACACAGATAACTTCTCATTCTGCGACGTGTCACCCTTCTCCTGCAATTTCATTTTCAGACGATCAAGGACCTGCAGGACCTGCAGTTTATCTTGGGTCAAGATGAATAAGTAGTATAACAGTTAAGTCCCATCTGAGATTCCATTTTTAAATCATTAATTAATTATAGAACAATATATCCAGTATACCTGTAGCAGGATTTTCAGGCATTTTGAATTATTCTCTTCAATCACTCTTAAAGATACCTAAAGAAAAATTTTAAAATATAAAAGATTAATTTCAATCGTGTATGGCTATAATCCTACAGAAAATTTAAGAAAAACCTCAAGAACATTCTCAAGACTCCACTCAGTGAAATTCAAATTATAACCACAATGAGGCCACTACACACCCACTAAGATAACTAAAATTAAAAAACAGACAATAATACTAAGTGTCAACAAGGCTGTGAAGTGCCTGGAACTATGTTGTACGTTGCTAACAGAAATGTAAAATATCACAACCACTTTGAAAAATTGGTGGTTTCTTTTTTTTTTTTTGAGACAGGGTCTTCTCTGTTGCCAGTCTGGAATGCAGTGGCACAATCTTGGCTCATTGAAACCTCCACCTCCCAGGTTCAAGCGATTCCCCTGTCCCAGCCTCTGAAGTGGCTGGCACTACAGGTGTGTGCCACCACGCCAAGACAATTTTTTTTAATTTTAATAGAGACGCGGTTTCACTGTTAGTCAGGCTGCTCTCAATCTCCTGAGCTCATGATCCACCAACCTTGGCCTCCCAAAGTGCTGGGATGACAGACGTGAGCCACCATGCCCGGTCCATTTTTTTTTTTTTTTTTTTTTTTTTTTATAGACAAAGTCTTTCTCTGTCGCTCAGGCTGGAGTGCAGTGGTGCAATCTCGGTTCACTGCAACCTCCGCCGCCCAAGTTCAAGCCATTCTCCTGCCTCAGCCTCCTAAGTAGCTGGGATTACAGGCATGTGCCACCACGCCTGGCTAATTTTTGTATTTTTAGTAGAGACAGGGTTTCACCATATTGGCCAGGCTGGTCTTGAACTCTGACCTCAGGTGATCTGCCTGCCTTGGCCTTTTAAAGGGCTGGGAATACAGGCATGAGACACTGTGCCCAGCCGGTAGTTGCTTATAAAGTTAAAAATACACTTACTGAGCCGGGCGCGGTGGCTCCCGCCTGTGATCCCAGCACTTTGGGAGGCCGAGGCGTGTGGATGATCAAGAGATTGAGACCATCCTGGTCAACATGGTGAAACCCCATCTCTACTAAAAATACAAAAAAAAAATAGCTGGGCATGGTGGCACGTGCCTGTAATCCCAGCTGCTCAAGAGGTAGAATTGCTGAACCCAGGAGGCAGAGGTTGCGGTGAGCCGAGATCACGTCATGGCACTCCAGCCTGGGTAACAAGAGCGAAACTCCGTCTCAAAAAAAAAAACACTTACTATATACTTACTATACACTAACACTTCCACTCATAAATATTTACTCAATATTTATGAAAATACATGCTCACAAAAACACCTGTACATGAAAGTTTTTAGCATTTTTATTTATAAAAGCCCAAAACCAGAAAAACTCAAACGTCTAGTAACAGATGAATAAACAAAATAATGGTATATAATATTCAGAAATAAAAAGAAAAAAATTCCTGATACACACAAGGATAAATCTCAAAAATGATATGCTGAGAACAAGAAACCTGACCCAAAAAGGCACAAATCATACTGCATGATTCCATTCAAATGAAGTTCAAGTACTGACAAAACTAATCTATAATTATAGATTAATTTACCTGGGTCTTGATGAAAGGGAGCTATGATAGGCTTCAGAACATGCAAGTCCCAAAATATGACACCTTGACATGTTGAATATTTTAAGCTGAAGGAATCTGAGAAAACCAGGTGCAGAAAGGACTTCCCCTGAAGTAGACCATAGGATTCTCTTGTGAGAGGTTCCTCTCTATTCCCAGAATATAGCAGCGTCTTAATCTCAAAACACAGAGTGGCCGGTACGGAATCATGGCTATAATTCCAGCATTTTAGGAGGCCGAGGCAGGAGGATCACTTGCACCCCAGAGTTTGAGGTCAGCCTGGGCAACTCAGTGAGATCCTGTCTCTACGAAAAATTTTTACAAATCAGCCATGCAGGCCAGGCACGGTGGCTCACATCTGTAATCCCAGCACTTTGGGACGCTGAGGCAGGTGGATCATGAGCTCAGGAGATTGACCAGCCTGGCCAACATGGTGAAACCTCTCCTCTACTAGAAATACAAAAACTGGCTGGGCATGGTGGCAGGCACCCATAATTCCAGCTACTTGTGAGGCTGAGGCACGAGAATTGCTTGAACCCGGGAAGCAGAGGTTGCAGTGAACCAAGATTGCACCACTGCACTCTAGCCTGGGCAACAGAGCAAAACTCTGTCTCAAAAAAAAAAAAAATCAGCCATGCATGGTGGCACACACCCGTAGTCCCAGCTGCTCAGGAGACTGAGGCAGAAAGATCACTTGAGCCCAAGAGGTTGAGGCTGCAATGAGCTCTGATCGAGCCACCGCACTCCAGCCTGGGGAACAGAGTGAGACTCTGTCTCAAAAATTGGAAAAAAATAAGTGAGGAACACCCAGAGGAATCTGAACAAATAGGCCTTGTTAAGTTTTTCCCAGGTTAGTACTCTTAGCTCATATCCCTTTCTGTCCTATCACATTCCACAACTCTTCCTTCTTCATCAAACCTAATTTAAAAACACTCAGGTTTAACTGTTTCTTCGGGTCTTCACTTCCTTATGAAGGCTCCCATGGAACATAAAACTTACATTAAACAACTTTATGGGCCGGGCGCGGTGGCTCAAGCCTGTAATCCCAGCACTTTGGGAGGCCGAGGCGGGTGGATCACGAGGTCAACAGATCGAGACCATCCTGGTCAACATGGTGAAACCCCGTCTCTACTAAAAATTACAAAAAATTAGCTGGGCACGGTGGTGCGTGCCTGTAATCCCAGCTACTCAGGAGGCTGAGGCAGGAGAATTGCCTGAACCCAGGGGGCGGAGGTTGCGGTGAGCCGAGATTGCGCCATTGCACTCCAGCCTGGGTAACGAGCGAAACTCCGTCTCAAAAAAAAAAAAAAAAAAAAACAACTTTATATGTTTTTCTCTTGTTAATCTACCTTTTATTACAGGGTCCCCAACCAAAAACTTAGAAGGGTAGAAGCTAAATATATTTCCCCTCCCCTACACTGGGAAGGGGTTCACGGAAGCTTTTTTGGAGTGATGGAAATGTTCTGTGTCTTGAAGGTGGTACTGTTTACACAGATGTATATGCTTAGTAAAATTTATCAAACCAGGCCAGGCACAGTGGCTCATGCCTGTGATCCCAGAACTTTAGCAGTCCAAGGCAGAAGGACCACTTCAAGCCAGGAGTTTGAGACCAGCCTGGGCAACACAGCAAAACCCTGTATCTATTAAAAAATAATAATACAAAAAAATTAGGCAGGCATCATGGCAAAGCTGTAGTTCCAGTTATTTGGGAGCCTGAGGTGACAGAATCATTTGGGGCCAGGAAATTGAGGGTGCAGTGAGCTGTGATCAAAAACAGAGTATATGGTAAGGGAAGGTGGAGCACTCTGGCTCACGCCTGTAATCCCAGCACTTTGGGATGCCCAGGTGGGCAGATCACAAGGTCAGTAGATCGAGACCATCCTGACTAACACGGTGAAACCCCGTCTCTAGTAAAAATACAAAAAAATTAGCTGGGCATGGTGGCACACACTGTAGTTCCAGCTACTCAGGAAATTGAGGCAGGAGAATCACTTGAGCATTAGAGCTGGAAGTTGTGGTGAGCAGAGATCATGCCATTGCACTCCAGCCTGAGAGACAGAGGGAGACTCTGTCTGAAAAAAAAAAAAAAAAAAAAAAAAAAAAGATGGCAAGAGAAGTAAGAAACACCAGTAACTCTACAACTCAATATCCATCAGACAGCACTCAGGCTAAGTGGAACCTATGTCTCACTCATGGTATGGTCATAGGAAATCTTTGATCATTCAATTTTGACCTGTCTGGTTAAGAAATCAGCAGGGCTTATGGAAGGGGATTTCAACTTTGTTGAAACATGGTAAAACTGAGTCTAACTTGTCATAGATAGGCTATCTACAATTGGTCACAGCTAGAAATTAAAATGCCACATTGTACTACTGTCCTCATAGTCGTACAGCCTCCAGAGAATGAGAACTTTATTATGCTTGGCAGCTTCCACTCCATCATTGATCAAGAGAATTTGTGCCATGAATTTTTCATATCTGGTTCACTGTAGAATGTGATTGAAGGAAATTATTATAATATTGTGGCTTTTTAAAACCCATGGCCTAGGCCAAGGCCAATTAATAGAGCATTTGAAGAAAGATAGAAATTTAATTTTAAATTATATTTTATTATTATATATATTTTATTAAACTCTTGATCTGATTAAGATTAAAAACTTAATAAATAAAATATATATAAAAGAATCAAGAATATAGGCAAAGTAAGGCCTCTGAGACACACTTTTTTTTTTTTTTTTGAGATGGAGTTTCGCTCCTGTTACCCAAGCTGGAGTGCAATGGCGCGACCTCGGCTCACTGCAACCTCCGCCTCCTGGGTTCAGGCAATTCTCCTCCCTCAGCCTCCTGAGTAGCTGGGATTACAGGCACGTGCCACCATGCCCAGCTAATTTTTTGTATTTTTAGTAGAGACGGGGTTTCACCATGTTGACCAGGATGGTCTCTCTCGATCTGTTGACCTCGTGATCCACCCGCCTCGGTCTCCCAAAGTGCTGGGATTACAGGCTTGAGCCAACGCACCCGGCTGAGAAACACTTCTTGAACTCCCAGTAGTTCACAAGGATGTAACTCCCCACTGATTTAATAAGACATATGATATGTCAAACTTGAAATTTGGAAGGAAAAAGATCACTTGCAATCTCTGTGGAAAAGAACAGGTATTTAGTCTCTAACTGCATAAGTGAATTGGGCAGGTCACAATTAGAACACACATAACTCCCCGATGGGAATTTTCCAGAGCTCATTGAACCAGAGAATTTGAAGAATCAATAAGCCACTGTAAATATAATCATATTTACGCTTATCAATATCAAGTGCAAATATCAATGTCAAGTGTAAACATAGTTATGATTTCTGAAGTTATTCAAAAATTGAAGCTTTAAGTTTTTATTGTTTCCTTTGGAGTACAAAGCTAAGGATGTGTCTAGTCT